CGACGAAGACGATGAAAACAATGAACACGAATAATAGTCATTAATTTGTACAAAATGACCGAGCGAATAGACTACGGACTCACCCCCTTAGACACTTATACCAGTAGCATTTGTGCTAGCTGTTATAAGAATTATTAATTTAGAACAAATTAGTCGTGAAATTTTTCCTACAAGAAAATAAATATGTAACTATAATCTAGAGTCTAGCAGCATAAAACATATAAAGTCATGATATGGCGGGCGACGGCTGAGGGGAAAGCGTTGACGAATGTGAAATCTCATGCCTAAGTTGGAAACGAAGATATTATAAGGTTATAATTCTGGGTATTTTATAACTTGACAATTGATAATCTAACATGGTCCATCAGGGACGAACATCTGGGTGTTAGGATTTTGGTAAATCTTCTTTAACTATAAACTATAAGGTGTAATTATAAGGTTTAGTAATAAAGCATATATAATATTCGTGGTGGTATCCCTTCCCCCATACCCTCTCTTTTCAGATAAAACCTTAGTGGACGCAGCCAAGTGTAGTAAAAGTGGTGGCACCGCTGACCACAGCCAACCTAAGCCTGACAATTCAAATAAAGATGGCGCCGAGTGATGGTGAGTCTTTAGATGCGGAAACTAAAAAGTGCAAATACTGCAAATCAAATGTAGAGAAAATTGTAATAAAGTGCAACGGTTGTGGAGTGGTTTATCATCAATCGTGTGCGTTAAGAGTTACGGGCCTAACAGTCCTTAGTGGCAGTAAAAACATTGTTAATTGTGCCACCTGTGCCAAGGTCACCCGTGACACAGATGTAAACAAAGCTGTAAGTGCCGCTCTTGTTGTGAAAGATGCGGAAATTAGTAGCCTCAAATCGCAATTGGGCACATCCAAGGATGAAAACGAGAGTGAAAAAGTAATCCCGACAGAATTCCAGTCAAAAATCGATGCCTTGGAAAACATGATAGATCAACTAGCTCAATCAATGGCGCAGGAAAAAGGCGCGAACACCAATGAAAACCTTCTTGAAAAAGAAGTGGAGTGTCTCCAACGGGAATATGACATCTCCAAGAAATTAATGGCATCTCTAGAATACACAGTAGATCTCCAAAAATCCATGATTTCGACCTATGAGGCGAAATATGGTAAACTAGGCAGTCCATCAGCTGATATCCAAAAAGTTCCGCCTGTGACGTCACCGCCTTCTGTTCTGTCATCACAATCGAAGACAAGGAAGGAAAAACAGCGGCTCTTAACAATGTTGCCAAATCACAGCCCTGGCCAGCAAAAATCAACTCGACATCTAGTAGATCATACGCACAAAAGTTGACAGCGCCGGCGACCATAACCTCAAAAACGGATATTCAAAACAAAAACAATGAAAATTCCGAAGTAAATTTGAAAACAGTCAATGCGGCCGTCTTAGAGGCCCATTCACGCAATATACTCGAAAATGTCCTTCAATTAGGGTCAGTGCAAGACAAGGAGGAAGAATCATGGAAGATATACCAATCAAGAAGGCGAAGAAGGTGCATGGTTGGTGGAAATGAAAATGACACCACTATACACACAGTCCCCAAAGTTGTCTCGCTCCATGTTTCAAGACTAGATCCCAAAACGAAGCCTGCAGATCTTCAAAACATGCTGGCTACGCATTTTCCAGAGGTGACTTGTGAAAAGCACCCATCTAAGCAACCAACGTTATATGCATCAATGAAAGTTACCATCATGCAAGACAATTTTCGCAATGCTTGGAGGAAGGAAATATGGCCCAGGGGGGCACTTGTCTCTAAGTTTTTTGTACACAGGAGGAAACTGTCGCAAAGTAGACAGTTCCTCAGAAAGTCCAAATAAACCAGCTATTGAAAGCAAGTATAGCCAAGTTTACTATCAAAATGTACGTGGTCTCAGGACCAAAACAGAAACTTTTTACACAAACTTGCTGAAGAATATGACATAATAGCTTTAACAGAGACATGGTTGTGTGATGGTATATACTCAGAAGAACTGTTTGATGAGCGTTACACTGTGATAAGAAAGGACAGAAATACATCAGTCACTCGAGGAGGCGGTGTTCTAGTCGCTTTTAATAAGAAGCTTCCATATGAATTGTTAGAAACCAAAGAAGAATGTAATGTAGAGTGTTTATTTGTCAAGGTAAAAGTAAATTGTTTGTTATTTTATCTGTTGTGTATTTTAAACCTAATTCATGTTTAGATGATTATATTAGCTATTTCAACCAATTTGAGAGCCTTTTAACAAATGAACAAGCAAAAACTTTAATTTTAGGAGATTTTAACCTTCCACTTTTGGATATATGTGATAATGATAGAAATAATGCATTAGGAGAGTTTCTTAATTTGCACAATTTGCAGCAATTGAATAATATAAAAATTTTAGGGATAGATGTTTGGATTTGCTAATATCCAACATAGAAATACCCATTCTTACTAGACCATCACATACACTAGTTGCCGAGGATATGTACCATCCTGCACTACTTTCAAATACCAATCAAAGAGAAGGATGAACTTTTCATATCAAAAAAGTATATGTACAATTATTCAAAGGAAAATTTTCTTCTTTTGTATAATCTCATTAAAAATCATAGTTGGGAGGAGCTGTTTGCAATAACTGATGTAGATTCTAGTCTCAAATATTTTTATAATCATATGTATGGCTTTCTAGACATGGCTGTCCCTAAACAAATATTCAAAAATTCTGGCAATAAACCTAGATTTCCTCTGTGGTATTCTATGGATTTGATACGCAAAATTAGAGAAAAAAATAAGTTACATCGCATTATCTCAAAAAAACAAGCAAGCCCACCTTTGTGCGAACATTTTAGCAATTTAAGGAGTAGTATAAAACTTCAAACAAATAACGAGTACAGGGCATACCAAAAACACATTGAAGGCAATTTAAAAAAAGTGGAATGCCAACCGAGATTAGGAATGATAGAGAATTATATACAAATTCGGAAGACATTGCTAATGCTTTCGCACAACACTTTCAATCTGTATATGAAATACCCACAAAAATACAAAATAGGACTCCTGATTTCAGTGGCAACTCTTTTGAATTTTCTGTAATTACTGAAGCTAATGTCATTGACAGCATAAAAAACTTAAACCTAAAAAGTCAACTGGCCCCGATAACATACCAGCCTACATATATAAGGGTTTAGCAGACTTTTTTGCCTCACCTTTAAAACATATTTTTAATCTTGCCATAAAAAATAATCAGTTTCCAGAAGCACTGAAAACTGCACAAATAACACCAATTTTTAAGAGTGGCAGTAGAAACGAAATCAAAAATTATAGGCCAATTAGCCTAATTATTGTTTCAGCAAAAATTTTTGAGACCATTTTATTTGATGACTTTTACAGTTTCTTAAAACCCAAAATTTCAAACTTTCAACATGGATTTGTGAAAGATAAATCAACTGTGACAAATTTGTCAATTATATCAGAAGCTGCAGCTGAAGCTATCTTAAATAAAGACGAGTTAGATGCTGTTTATACAGACTGCGAGAAAGCGTTCGACAAAGTAGATCATGAACTGTTGCTTTATAAACTTGTTGATTTGGGTGTAACAGAGGAAATTTACCATTTTTTAAAGTCATATCTCTTGAACAGAGTACAGTGTGTCAGAATTGGAATCTGCGAGTCAGAACCCTTCATTGCCACCTCAAGCGTGCCACAGGGAAGCAATTTGGGACCTTTACTTTTTTTGTGTTTCATTAATTCATTGCCAGAGTGTCTCTCAAACTCCACAGGATTACTTTTTGCTGACGACTTCAAACTTTATAGAGTTATAAAAACGAGAAGAGATTGCGATTTGCTCCAGCTTGATATTGATAGAGTAATTAAATGGTTTTCTGATAACAAAATGTTCCAAAATATAAATAAAAATTCAGTTCTAACATTTACTAGGAAGATCAATCCTATTTCTCATAACTAAAAAGTTTTTGATGTCATAATGAAGCGTGAAAGTTAAGTGAAGGATTTGGGAGTTTTCTTTCAATCAAATTTAAAATTTAATAGTCATTTTTGTCACATGAAAAATAAATCCGTCAAGGCTCTGGGTTTCTTGATAAGAAATACAAAGGAATTTGGTATCTCCACAATAATCAGGTTGTATAATGCTCTGGTGAGGCCACATTTAGAATATGCATCACAAATTTGGATGCCATTGGAGGCCACACATATTGATTGTATTGAGAAGGTTCAAAAAAGGTTCTTGCGTTACCTTTATGTTTTAAAAAACAACACATATCCCTTAAAAGTTTCGTATAAATCTATGTTGGATAGTTTCAATTTCAGATCTCTTTTACAAAGAAGACGACAACAAGCTATGATATATCTTTACTATATTTTAAATAACCTAAAGTACAAAGACTCTAACTTCATTAATTATATAAATTGTACTGTACCAAAGATTAATTTAAGAATACCAAATAATCAAAAACTATTTAGTGCAGATCCTAATAGTATATCTCCTTTTAATAAAATAATGTTAATAACAAATGAGATTCTCAGTGAGGTCCAAACAGACTTGTTTAATACTAGTCTCAAAAATTTGAAGGCTGTGATATGAATTTGTTCTTGTTTTCTTTGTCTTGTAGGCTTAGGTTGTTAGTTTGTTTGTAGTAGTAAGTAACTTTACATGTAATTACCATTTATGGTGTTTGTAAAGAATCCAATAAATAAATAAATAAATAAATAAATATAAAAATTACAAACATTTCACATTTCTTCACATTCTTCACATGAAGAATAAAAAATAGACCAGCTCAAATTGCAAAAGGATGTATTTAGTAAATAAAACATCCGCAATGCCACACCTCTAATTTGCATGGAATATAAAATGTGTTGCACCCATTTGTTAAGTTCAATAATGTTATTATTGCTCTTTCTTTTAAAACCGCAATATGGCATTTGAAAATAATTTGTGCAAAAACTTAAGGAATTATTTTAAGGGATACTGTCAAGCCAGTAGTATACATGGCATAAAGTATATGGCAGAGAAAAGAACTTATTTTGAGAGGTGAGTCAAGCCATTTCTTGATTTATATTAGGTACATACATATTTGCTTGAAGGGTTTTTGACCTTTCGGTGAATTTCAGGCTGTGAGGTCCAGTTCCGTTATCAAATGTCAGGAAAACGTCTTTTAAATTAAGCATATGAACAGAGTTTATGTTACCCATTGGCTTCGAATATTAAATTGCATATAGGTTTTTTTCCAAATATAAGTCATTGGTATAATAGTCCAAGAAACGGGGATCTGAAAAGAGGGTTTACCTTAACATAATTAGAAGTTAAATTTTTTGGGGGGGATCGGTCCATTTTGATATGCTAAATAACATATTAAGTTTGCGACCTTGTACTTCCATAAGGTTTTTAGTTAGGGGTCGTCTTTAGGGGTAATTTGCGGTTTATGGAGAACGCTGCTCAAAGAGTTGGTCCAACAACAAAAAGTTCCAAATGATTGTTGTAGCTGAAGTTTTTTGCTATGTAAAACTCCGCGACAGCACCCCTTTATCGTCTATAGTTTTTTTTCTGCAGCGTCTTGAATAGTACCATGTTTTTGTTCAAGGTCACTGAATCGACGTTTCGCCTGTTTGCGCGCTTTTGATGTAGCAGCGGTCGAATGCATAATCCGATTTCAATTTTTTCAAGTACCACATTATTGCTAATGAAATGCACTCTCCAATGCTTTTTGGTTCAAATTTTTTGCTCGGAAATTAAGCGAGCACGGACTTGCCTAATGTGCGAGGAAGTTGTAAATTACATCGAAAACTACCCCTTTCTTGCATTAACTGTAATTTCTAAACGGGGCCAAATATTTGGTGACAGTTTTCGACAATCAGCAGCCCATTTATTCCTCTCATAATGCCCCAGCGGATTTTTTTTTCGGTAATCACTCAATGAACTCGTCGCCCGGAATTTTTCAAAAAGTAAAAAAAAATAAAAAATTAAAATTATCGCACAGCGCTGAAATTTGGTACGATGGCTTTATTTATTGTTCTCATGAATATACTGCAATTCTAATTGTTGCAGCAGTTATGTATGCGCAAACAGGAGAAACGTTGATTCGGCGACCTTGAACAAAAACATGCTACTATTCAAGACGCTGCAGAAAAAAAACTATAGAAAACAGAGGGGTGTTGTCGCTGAGTTTTTATTTATCAAAAAACATCAGGTACAACAATCATTTGAAACTTTTTGCTATTGGACCATCCCTTTGAGCAGCGTTCTCCATAATAAACCGCAAATTATCCCTAAAAACCACCCCTAACTAAAAACCCTATGGAAGTACAAGGACGCAAACTTAATATGTTATTAAGTACATGAAAATGGACCAATCCCCCCCAAAAAATGTTAACTTCTAATTATGTTGAGGTAAACTTCCTTCATTGCTTGGCCTATAATACATGTTGAGCACGAAAAGAAATCCAGTAATATACTCACTCAGCTTGAGCAAAAACATCACTAACCCCCGGTTTATTTATTTTCCGATAAACTTGGTGGTGAGTCTCTAAGATAGATATACGAAACTAGTATACAGTCGACCAATAGGACTGTAGATTGCGTTTTCATCACGCAGATTGCATTACCTGGCAGTTTATCAGAAGGTGAATAAACCGGGCATAAGATAAGTGAGACTACTCTTCAAAAATTGATTTACTTTATTCGTGACAATAACAAAAAAATCACCATCATCTATTGGACCAATAGAAATACTTCCGGATCAACGGATTGACGGAAAAACGGATGCATGAAAAGTAAGCTTTACTGTGACAAAGTCACATGTAAGCTTTACTGTGACAAAGTCACATGATTCACACGACACCACACGTCGTTGAACTGTTGAAGTCAGCTGTTGTTTTGAGCAGCGTTGCCAGATGGTCAGCGGCTCGAATATTATTGGTCGCCGCTGTGGCGCTAAATTTAAATTACAGTTTGTTTTTCTCTGACTAATTCTATAGACACTATGCTGGAAAATAATTTAGTATCCCACTATATCATCACCATTTAGCCTATAGAATAATGTCGAGCAGTTTTTTTACTGATTTTCATACATAGTATACTACCCCATTAGAAAAAATATTGTATGAAACACGTTCGGAAACACTATTTTTCGTAACTCTCTTCCTTTTGCGGACCGAAAATGACCACTAGTATTATTACAACAGTTCGTTTAAATACAATCAAGCTTAACTAATCGCAAAAATCAATCACAACACATTGTCACAGATCACCTACTTACAGATGCTTAAGTAAGAGACCTTAGGGCTACGAAACCTCGCCCCTCCCTCTAGCGAGCCAGCCGCCTGTCTAATAGTACGGGGGTCCGCGTCAGGTAAATTATCGCGTCCAATCATTTATAGTACGTGAGCGTGTTCCAACCTGTTATGACAAAGTATGCCAGGCCATAAGTGTGTTTATCTGCATTGTTCCGCCAAAAGCGGTGGAAAAAAATCTCTTTTTGAGTTTCCAAAAAATCTTGCAAGGTAAGTAAATTAACTCATAACATTTTCAACATCTATTACTAGTTTTTAAAGCCATATGTGACAACAGGTTGGAACACGCTCATGCACTATAAATGATTGGCCGCGATATTTTTCCTGAATCTGACCCCCGTGCTATTCGACAGGCGGCCGGCTCGCTAGAGGGAGGAGTATACTCACGCATCTGTAAGTATAGTCTGGCTAGTGGTAACTTGATAGAGACGAAAGGGGGAAGAAAAGTGGAGCGTAACCTAAGAATATTCACTGACACCTCAACTGACACTGCCTGATGACAGCCATGTCTTTGGGTTCAGTGGCACCGAAAACACCAAGGAAATAAACCAATAAAGTTATTAGAATTTTTTTTTTTTAGTTTCGCGAATAACCATGCCACTTTTCTGTCGTTCAGGCTCTAACCAATAGAATCATGCCTCTCAATAATCACGCCTTTCCACATCGATCATTTCGCAATGTTGCCGGATTTTTTTCTAATTCACTACACATGCCCATATTGCAAAAAAAAAATTACGTCACCAACTTGTTTATTATTGTTTCCGTCAAGTTTCGCAGAGCAGCAACTTTTATTGGAGTTAGCCCTTTGGCTAGCCAGACTATAGGTGATCTGTGACACTGTCTTACTATCGACTGCCGTTCCACTTGACATACTGGCGTCTAGTTTATTACTGATCTTTTCTCCTCAGTGGGCGACTGCGTTCAATAGCGCGTCGTTGCTTTTAGAATTGTTGTCTAGATAATTAATTTCAATTGATTTCAAATTCGTGGAACTATTGCGCTGTTAAATTCCATTGGCGAATTTTTCAGTCACCACGCAATATTGCAAATTGTCCACCATTTCCCCCAACTAAAGGATCTATCAGGATATACATATGTTAAATGCGAACAGAATATTAAAAAAATTATGGTACCTACAGAGTAATTTATTATACCACTAGGTACTTATTTTACGTAATGAGTAAGTCAGTAGATGTTATTTATTTTAGGATTTATTATATCGCCTCTGTAGAGCGAAAAGGGGCCAAGCGGCAATTGAACCATTTTTGAGATAACCGCCATAACATCTTCATATCCCAACTCACGTTGGGTTAGAGTTGGGTTAGTTTGAAAATAAAAAGGTGACAAGTGGCGCGTACATAAACTCATGTAGAGAGGAAAAGTACAAATAATTGCAAATAAATGAGAATTTTCAAATTTGCAGTTTTATTCGAGGTTTACTTGGTTTTCTCAACAATCTAGTATTTGGCACATGGCCTCTTTTCCCTTCTTGCTGTACAGTGGAGATATTTAAGAATAAAAAAATATAAAGAAGGAGGCACAATTAACATTGAAAATAGGCCCCCGTATGGAGATGGCATAAATAATATGGGCGGTGGTTACCGGCTAAATTGGCTGGGATTTTAGTATGTCTTGCTGAACAATGTTTAAATGGAACAAATTTTTCTATGGGGTAAGGCCACAAATCCCAATTGAAGTTTAGAAATCCGTAATATCGATTTAATTATTATGGACAACTCGGAGGTTCAATTTCAACGATTTTCGAGATATTCAAGAAAATCTGTAGGGATAATTCCTCGGTTATTTCCTATGCATTGCATAGCAAGACCTACGTACTTTGATGAGCTATATCTGTTATCACAGACATACGATCCCCTTTACATTTCAAATTTTTTTTTTGCAATGATGATCTTTAAAATATTGAAATTTGGTTGAAATTTACGGAAGCCTATTTTCAATGTTAATTGTGCCTCCTTTATATTTTTCTATTTTTATTCTCTCTTTGTAATACTTACGTGATACTAATACGGCTAAAAAAATAAATGTGTTATAGAATTTTATTTGTTTCAAAAATTGAGTTTTGATGTCGAAATAATTTTTAACCTTTTAGCAACGTGTTGTGTGACTTGAATATACGCACTTAAGAAACCGATTATGTGTTCCAGTTGGTGCATTCTGGACAAGGAACATCTATATAAAATATTATCTAAATTCGCTAGTGCATTAAGTGACGGAAATAGAATAATAAATGTATGCATGTGTATATTAACCGTGAAATTAATAAATTCTATCGTCATTGCGTCAGTGGAAAGTAGTCGATAGATGCAAATTAAAAAAAAAAAATGGTTGTTACTTTTCTTAAAAATTTGAAGAAATACTTTCAAGAATACTGTAGATGCACCAGCATACATGGGTTTAGGTATTTCGGTGAAAAGAGAACTTATTTTGATTCGTAAGTACCAATTTTCAATTTGTTCATATTATAAATCCTCCATTTTGCATGGAATATACCTAACATTCGTGAACCCCATATAGATCATAACGCCCGCTAGGCTTATAATGCCCCCAGGTTGTTATAGGCATGTTAACGTATTTCGTTTCCTAGGTATTATGGATCTAGAATAGTTAAGTAGAAAATAAATATATTATTCCTTTTTCTCTCAAAAATATGACTTTCCAAAATGTAAAGCATCAATAACTTCTAAGCTGAGTAAAGCTATAGTACCTATGTATTTGTTTAGCAAAGTTTTGGAGTTTTCAGGCTGAAGGTAAATTTTAGAATATAAGTTTTATTTCTCAGTAAAAACGCCCTTTCCAATTAGTGTTTTGTTTTAGAGGTTGGTGGTTGATAGTATTCTCAGTCTGCTTGTCCTTCTGTGGCTATTTCATAACGATGGTCTATCAAAAATGGGAAAACAGTCCCGTCATTGTAAGTTTTGCCACGCGTGAAACCCCTATTCACGAAATACCGTTCCCGGCAGTGACTATTTGTCCAGAAATTAAAGCCATCAAAGAAATGTACGATCATTCAAAAATGGTGGTGAAGTTAAAGAAAAAAGAACGCTTAACCAAAGATGAATATGAATCGACTTCATTTATGAATCTACTTTGTGATGTTAATTTAACGGAACACTTGTTCAGATATGAAAACGATTCAGAATTTAGTTATTTTAACAATTATTTATACTCTGACAATAAGTTTTATGATTTTATGTTTGATGTTGCACCGAACATTTTTGGCAATTTTATGGCATGCAAATGGATGAATAAATTTCAAGATTGCGATGATATGTTCAGTTTAATCCTCACCGATGAAGGCCTTTGTGCCACATTCAACATGATAGACAAATCAGAAATTTATAGCAGCGACGTCTTTTTGCCAGAAATTCCATTTCCTTTTAACTCACCTCCAACAAATATTACATGGAGCCTAGATAAAGGCTACGGAACCTACGAAAACATCAACACCTATCCACGTAGAGCCTTATTTTCAGGGGCAAAAAACTCCCTGTCAATATTCTTTCAGGAATTCAAGGCCAATGCAGATTCAACTTGTAAAATGTCCCTGCAAGGCTTCAAAGTAATTTTACATACACCTACAAGGGTACCGAGACCTAGTCAGCAATACATTAGATTGCCATTGAATGAAGTTGTAGTGGCGGCAGTGCAACCTGTTATGATAACGACCTCAAAAACAGTTAAATCTTTCAAAGCTGAAATCAGAGAGTGTTATTTTGAAAGTGAAAAAGTCTTAAGATTTTTCAAGGCTTATACCCAGAGGAATTGTCAATTGGAATGTTTGACCAATTTCACTTTGTATTGGTGTGATTGTGTTGGATTTTATATGCCAAGTAAGTTTTTGAAACTCAGAAATTCGTTTGAGATGAAGTTACATGTTTAGAGAAACTTAATGTTGCCTTTTCTCATCATAAATATTATAATATTGATATGCTTCTAATAAGTGGTGCAAAATTGTAGCCTATCAAAATAAAAATAGAGGTCCACCTGTTTATTGTCGATATATTGGGAATTTTGGGCCCTACTTATCATTAGACCCTAGACCTATAGGCGTAGTGGTAAAATGGACCCTTTCCGAATTTCCAACTTAAATATTCAGTTATGCAAATCATAAATCAAAACTGAAACTATAATTATGTAGGCACACTTAGATTTCCACCTTGCATCTCTTTCCCATTCGAGCCTATATAAACGTTGTTTAGGAAACTCTCAAAAGGGCTTTTTGCCTATTTTAGTTTGTGTGGAGCAATCTACAAAGTTCGATTGTGTCTATATTTTTCATTAGCGACTTTTTTCGTTTATCATATGCGCACACGTCACTTGCTAGAAGCAGCTGCATTTTTATGCTGCCTTGTTCGAGATTTTAAAAATAATATATTCTCGACTGCAGAGTAGACAACGCACACTCTCGCTACGCGACCCGTACAAATTCGTGTCGTATCGGACGGTTCGGTCAATACAACGAAACTGCCCCTATTTTACTGCCCTAAGAAGCTACAGAGTACTCTGCTACAGTCAACACGCTTCAGTTTGGACCAGTACCCAGAGAACCAACAGAAACCCTTTTCAAAGGTAAGTGATCTGTGCGTACCGGGCTCAAACATTTATTTCATTTTCTCTAAAATCATACTGTCCACTAAACAATTTTCATATTTTCCGCAACATATTTATTTATGTATCGAGGGCGCATTAGTTGTTTGCGGCGCACCGCGTGGCAATTCAAGCACAAGGGCCTCAAACGCCATTTGCGCCTGTGGTATATACAAAATTTTATGTACGACCGCGATTAATTAGGCTTTATTCCATGAATGCACCCTTCAAAATCAAATAGTAAAGAAAACGGGTGGTTATTCGTAATTTACTAGTACAAACCGCAGTTACCAACCAAAGAAACAATCAATTTGATCATTTTGGTTCGTTTTGAGGGATAAGAAATAACAAATCTGTACTAGTATCTGTTCAATTTTTGACACCTACACCATGCTGGCACTTTACGCGGCCCTGCGGGCCAAAAAGTATCAAATTGCGCCCGCAAGCAAGTGCTTTGCAGCCGGTCGTACATAAAATAAATTGCAATAGAGTAACGTCAGTCTCGGCATAATTCGTTGATGTTTAAATTAAATTCTTGGACTTACAATTTTGCTAACCACTCATTTGAGTGCAAGTACTTTTTGAGAGCACTGAGATTGAACTAACTTGAGAAAATAATAAATTATTGAAAATTGCTATCAAATCTACCACGAAGGCTAAAGACTTCATTAATCTGGCTAAATTCCAACATATTTTAGGAACCAATAACACACCCATTTGTGGTAGTTTTAATAAGCCTTGCATGGAAGAAGCAGAAGAAGTGTTACAAATGGGCAATTTGAGACACGTTTTGGGCTTGAAGCGGAGCACTCGGAAAAATTTTAATTCCAGCGAGGAATCTATTATCGAAGAGAAGTCAGAATGTGATTGTTTGCCTCTTTGCACCGACTTACACTACAACGTTGAAACTTCTGCCTCTTCTTGGGACTGGAAAAATTTTGTGGAAGCCTTAATGGAAAATGAAACATATATTGATGAAATGCTCAGAGAAACTGGGTGAAATAATTGCAAAAAATCAATTGAAAAATATCTAATTCATTTTTTTTTAGAATGACAATGTCCAATTTGGTAATTTACTTCAAGAACAACCAATTCGTGACATCTAGAAGACACGAACTCTATGGCCCGTTCGATTTTTTGGCCAATTTCGGTGGCTTATTAGGCCTATTTACAGGGTTTTCCATTTTATCTTTAATGGAAATAATTTATTTTTTAACTATCAGGATAATTTGCAATTTTAAATTGTACGGGAACTGGTCGGGAAAACAAATAAAAGACTAAAACAACATATGTTTCTAAAATATAAATTTAGATGTTTAAGCTTTTAGGTATAGGTATACTTATTATCCAACAATTAAATCTTATTGACCATAGAAAATATTTATAAAAAAATTGAGCTCGCATCTTCATCTCAAAAATTAGTCCACCCAACAATCGTTTTAGTTTGTTTATGCACGATCAGGCGGGAAATTCAACAAATGCGGGCGGTAAGTTCATCTGCCTGCTTGTAGCCATCTCGATAACCCAAACCAGCTACTATTCTAACAGCCCTTCTCTGAATGGAGAAAACCCTTTGTGCTTCATTTGCATGACCCCATATTAGCAAAGCGTAGCCTATATGTGAGTTCAGCAAAGAAAAGTATGTCTGTTTTGTAACTCTAGATGAGACACATCTTACCAAATTTCTCAATAAAAATGTGTTTTTGCAAAGCCTATTTGAAATTATTCCAGTGTGTACATTCCAAAGAAGTTTTTGGTCAAGGTGCACTCCTAAGAATTTTACACTGTTGGTCATGGGTTCTATATTTTTTAGAGAAAAAGTATAGTTTTGGGTTTTAGATTCATTCAAAAAGAGCTTGTTAGTTGCAAACCATTACCTAGCCCTCAACTGTGCCTCCCCCAACATACGGACAGCTATTGGTAGATCTGGATGTTGAACTTGACCTGTGATCGTCTTCAAATTTTACATACCTTTCGAACTCCGCTATTTTGGGTAGATCATTAATACAGATTAGGAATAGAATAGGACCCACAATTGAGCCCTGTGGACGCCTATGTTCATTTCTTGCTTGCTCGAATTAATGTCATTATAGTTTACAATTTGAGATCGTTTAGTCAGATAGGATTTTATTAGATCCACACTGGCGTTCTAAAAATTGTAAAAAGGCAGTTTTTTAAGCAGAATGTCGTGCGAGACACTGTCAAAAGCTTTGCTCAGGTCACAGAAGGTGGTAACTGTGTAATGAGAGGTCTCAAACCCTTCCATTATACCTTCTACCAATTTTAATATTGCCAAAGTTGTATTCTTGTCTCCTCTAAAGCCAAACTGACTATTACTAAGTAGGTCATTTTGCTCTAGGTAACTGGATATTTGTATAGCTATGCATTTTTCAAGAATCTTAGATAAAACTGGCAAGAGTGAGATCGGTCTGTAGTTGCCTGAATCATTTGGATCTCCTTTTTTCAATATTACTATTACTTTTGCTGTTTTTAGACAATTGGGAAAGGTTTTCTCTTTAATGCAATGATTTATTAATTTTGTAAGAGGTATTATTAGGAGATTTTTGACTGATTTTATTAGGGTTATATTCAAGTTGAAAATATCCTTGCTTGTTTTGTTTTTAAGCTGGTCAATCACATCACGTACTTCGTTAAATGAGAGGTCCTTAAAGGAAAAGGATTGATTGTTTGCATAAATTTTAAGTAAATTCAAAATGGAGTCTAAATCTTCTTCTTCTATTGTGTTCTAGAGATCCACATCTATCTTTACAAAAAAAATATTAAAATCTTGTGCAGTCAATGTTGTTTGGTCATTTTTTGTAGGTTTTGTTTTACCACGATACTCATTAATTATTTCCCACATGCATCTAATTGGGTTGGTAGAATTTTTTTATTTTAGTTTCATTGCACTGAATTTTTTATAGCTTTTTTGTAGCTTTGACGGAGATCTTTTATATATTCCTTAAGCTAATTTGTTGGATGGAGTTTAAAGATGTCATTTAGGTACTGAAGGTGTTCTCTCATATTTTTTAGGTCATTATTAAACCAATCAATGTTATTTGTTTGATTTGCTTTTACTTATATTTTTTTTTGGGAACGACTCATAATATGCCAACTCAATTAACTGCACAAGGTTCTGAAACTTTACCTCTACAGAAGTAGGAGAGTCTATAAATCTAAAATCAATTTCAGAAATTTTTTGATAAAATATGTTTTTTCCAACCATGGACGGACACACCTTTTTTGAGTATTTTTGATTACTTTTTTGAGAAGGACAATTTAACGAGACAAGTTGCACATCGTGATCTGATTTTCCTGGCTTTACAATGCAAGCAAGGTATTCAGTTTCTGAAAAATTTATAAAAATATTATCCAGACAGTTGTTACCGCGGGTAGGTTCAAAAATCGTCTGGACTAATCCATACGACTCTTTACCTACATGTTTTTCCATTTGTACAGAATTTTACATTAAAATCACCTGCAAGAACTATTTTATTATGTGTATCCAGTTTATTTGAAATTTTATCAAGATTGTTTAAAAAGATGTCAAAATCTCCCCCAGGAGACCTATATACTGATAGTATTACTATGTTATATTTATATGATCTTACTCCACAAACTTCAATACATTTTTCCACATTCAGCTCCCTAATATCTGTCAACTCTTTATAAATAGTGCCCTTTTCAAGATGCTGCCACTTCCAAGTTGCCAATCTTCAGAAAGTTTATTTCATCATCTTTCAAAAAATGCTCAGTTACACACATTATACCAATGGCTTTATCGACGATAAATGCTTCCAGTTCATCTGTGATGTCTCGGATGGATTGGGTATTAAGGTGGAGCACAGAGAGCTTCTCCTCACTATTTGTAGAGTCTGGTATGGCTCTATTGTTGGCTAATTTGCCCGTGTCTTTGGGCTTCGTCAGACATGGGTAAAATGGTTCACCATGATGCCTTCACCCCATAGAAAACACTTATTTGGTTTGAGTTTTAACTTGGCATTCCAGAAGCGTTCAAAAACTGCTTTCAGGTTATTGAGATGTTCTTGGAATGAATTTCCCATGATCATGACATCATCTAAATATACCAAACAAGTTCTCCATATGAGGCCTCGCAAAACTAGATACATCAGTCGCTCAAACGTAGCGGGAGCATTACGCAATCCGAAACGCATTATGTTAAACTGGTATAACCCGCTTCCGGTACTGCATCTTTCTTTGTAACCAATACTAATCGAGCAGGCCATGGACTATTTGACTCTTCAATAATTCCCTCTTGAAGCATTTTATCAATTTGGTTTTCCACTTCCTGTTGTTTAGCCACTGACATGCGTCGTGGTGGTTGCCTAATTGAGTGTGCCAATTGAGTATCAATTTTGTGTTGAATTAAACTGATCCATCCGGTTTGATTATCCATCACAAAAATGTCTGCTTCTTTCAAGATTAAATTTTTGGCTTCTTGAAGTCTATCTGGATCGAGGTGCTTCCATGATATTCCCAAAGTCTGCATCAAGGTGCCTGTATCCAATTTCGGTTTTACAAAATGTTGCTTATCTGATAGGTCACAGTTCGATATTTGCTTAACTGGTTCGAGAGTTCCAATAACAAAGAGTTTTCGTTGTCTTTCAAAAGCGATTCCAATAGCCGCTATTTGACAACTTTGACATTTGAGCTGTCATTTATCGTTATCGTTACCGATAAGTGTCGGGAGCTTACGGATGGAAGACAAATTCAAAATCTCTTTATTGCAAATAATATGGAGTATAAACAGTTTTGAGTACAGACCATAAATTAAGTGAAACAGTGTCAAAGGGAAAAAGTTTCAAGTTATAATGTTGCACTAAAGTAGTCATTTAGATTGTATGGCTCTAGGTCTATCAACAATTTTTTCACCTTCCTTTTAAAACTATTTACTACTGTTTTAAAATTATTAGGTAGATATTCTTATGCACATGTATGATAGATTTTTTTCTGTTACTGTCAGCCTATAGATTAGAAACACTAAATCTAGTGTCCGAGTGTTATATGTAGTATTACAATAATTGTTTGTGATAAATTGTGACTTATTTTTATAAAGTAAATTAAACATTCATACAAATAAACAGCATATACAGTGAGAATATTTTTTTCCTCAAACTTATTTCTACAAGATTCCCTAAAATCTAATTTATTAATTAACCTAAAAATGCTCTTTTCTGAAATAGATATATTTTTTCCAGATTTTGGTTATTTCCTTAAAAAATTATTCCATATTTGAATACTGACTCAAAATTCGCAAAGTATAATGTCCTTAGAGTCTGGTTATTTAAATATCGTGATGCAGTTCTGATGGCAAAGCATATCTTATTCAATTTTTTTGACATTATTTCTGTATGTTCGTAGTAGTTCAAAAATTTGTCTATATGTACTCCTAAGAACTTTGCGGAGTTTGCTATTTCAAAACTATCTGATTGGAGGTTCAATGAACTATTTTGTTTTTTTTGTGCGTGTGTTGTATCAAATAATACCAATTTAGTTTTTTTTTCATTGAGAATTAATTTATTTTCATTGAACCAGGATTTTGTTTTAGAGAATATTGCATTTGCTTTATGTTGTATATCTTGTGCAGTTGTAGCCCCAGTCAATAGGTTGGTGTCATCAGCAAAATTTACCATGCTTTCCTCTTCATTTTGCATATCTTTGCATAAGTCATTCAAGTAAACGAGGAGGAATGAAAGTTGTGTATTTTCGTGCAAATATTTAATTATTCAAAATCAGTGCAGAGCGCTTTCGGCCTTAGGCCATCATCAGTGCTACCTGGAAGTAGAAGGAAGACTTAATCTTTATAAAATGATACTAAAAGTATGAAGAGATTGTTAAACGAAGTAAAACTCGTCAATCTCAGAGTGGGGTCTTGCCTACTTACTTCGTCAGGTAATCAAGTGCAGAAAAAATCAATAAAATCGGGACGACACATTGGACAAGTACGTACGTAACAACAACACTTTAAAATTAGAATATTATATCACATTTTTTATATAAAGGAACGAAGTTATAGACATTACTCTCACAATGCTGGCTTTAGGGTCCAATCTGTTAAACTTTTAGAATTTTGGTCTAGATTAAGTCTCCCTTCTATTTCCAGGTAGCACTGATGATGGCCTAAGGCCGAAAGCGCTCTGCACTGATTTTGAATAATTAAATATTTGCACGAAAATACACAACTTTCATTCCTCCTCATTTCCAAGCGTGCACACAGCCGTCAACCTTTGATTCAAGTAAATAACAAACAGTATTGGACCCTGCAATGATTGACTATTGTTTTTCTAATTATAGAAACCTCAGCACTCGTATCAAAAGTGATGGTTTCAAATTATCCATTAATTTGTCCTTCGAATTTTAATCCTCTATAATGACTGCCCGATGATTTTATGTAAACAACCCTGGGGGCTTTGTCATTACTAACCAGCATTCCCACCTCCATACTAGTTAGTTCCCGTTTCCCTGACTGTTATTAAGATTGTCGTGGCATCTCTAGATCTCGAAAAGCGTTGGGAATGATCCCTAGATGGAGAGGACATCCTAACTTTACAATTTCGTTGAATATGTCAAAGCTTATGGCATAGGTAACATTCTACTCCATTTCTCGGTGTTGGTGTTGGAGTCGTTTCCCGTTATTCTACCTTGTAGTAATAGTTTCTCCATTTTCTCCAAGAAATTACTCATAACATTCTGGAATCTACCATTCTCTTTTGCCGAATGTTTATCCTTTGGGTCTTCAATTGACACTGCTCGTATTATGGGTTGTGAAGCACCAAAGATTGCTTCCAGTTCCAATGCTCGGACAAGGACTTCACTAGTTTTTCTGAACTTGGACATTCTCAGGTTTTCCTGGATCTTGGAATCTCTGAGAACATCAATAAACTAATCCAAACTCACTAGCTTTGCAACTTCCGATTCGAATTCTTGTAAACTCTCGCCGGGTTTTTGAATTCTTGATTTCTTTGAGTTCTGAAAATACTTCTTGTCTGTAATGGTCTTCAAAGCGCAATTTTAACGTCCGACTTAGAAGCTGGTAATTCCATTGGTAGATTGAAGGAATGGACTAAAGAAGATCTAAGGTAGGTCTTCGTAGCGCCACTATCAGTGCTGTAGCTTTTTCTTGATCGCTCCAACCGTTGGTGTTTGCAGCAGCTTCAAATTGTCGGATATACAGCATGATCCAAGATGTAGAACCGTCAAAAGTTGATGGTTTTATATGTGTCAAAATGCCATGAAAATGAAATTGAAACTTGACTGAAAGTATTATGGGGCTATGGGCAGGAATGTTTTTAAATATATTATTAAACATATATGTATTTAGTCGGCAGTAAAAATATCCATGCATGTTTATCAACGATAAAATATAAATGCAAGTTTGAGCTTGTTGTTTTTGCTAGAACGGAAACGCTTATCAGTTATAAGTAAAAATAACCGTGAAATATGATACCTTTGTTTGTTTCCACATTAAACATCGGCGGCAGGCTGATTTATGAATTTTTCTTATTTACCACTACGGCATCCTGTAAAAGGACACAACGGACTTCACACGATGTACGCTAGATGGCGCCACCGATAACATAATGACGTCGAAAAGTTTGGGGTTGGCCCCGGGTCAAATCCCAGTAATTTCGGATCAAAGGCGCCGCCGATCTATAGATTTTCCCACGATATCGAAAATTTTCCCAGGCTCAGGTCCCCTCATCTATTTCTTCCGCAAAAGGAAAATAAATTTTCCATATGCCTAGCAGACGTCCTAAAGTCTCATTTTTTGTGCACAGCACTGACATAATTTCCAGTGGTTGAAATCCCCGAAGAAGAGAATCGGTCAGCAAAATTTGTCATTACCTGACAGTCTATAACACAACAATAATTTATTCGACGTTACTATAATAATATAACACTCTGACACTAATGGGCCCACTTTCACATTTTTCAAAAACATATTTAAATTATTCTTTTAGTCATTCTAATACTATCTGTATACTTTTTTTCCGAAAAAAAACGCTTGTATTTGAAAAAAAAAAAATTATTTAAAAATCGAATTTTTAAACTGGCGCGAAAACGCGAACTTGGTTTGTGACGTCACAAACCAGAAAATCAACAAAAATGCGAGGATGCCAAATTTCTCATTAGTAAATCATTACACATTTCACTAGCTAGAAACTATTTTCGTCCTTTGCTACGCTACATTATAAAAAAATAAAGGATAGGTATAATCCTTATTAACTCTTTTAAATTTCGCATTTCTACATGTGGCAACAAAAATGTCAAAATCGGCTTTAGCCAATCAGAGAGCGTTTTCAATCACGTGATTTTTCGTTTAAATTTTTAATTTTTATTTATTAGTTTATTTAATAATTTGACTAAAATCTTGCAAAATATTGTTCATTTTCGGTTGCATTGATGTATCTGCTTCAAAAAATATAATTTGCTATATTCCCGGCACGTGAAAGTGGCCAATTACTTCACGAATTAACTCAATTAACTGAAACTCTTCCAACTCCTACAATATTCACTATCTAACTCGTATAACAGCCAATCTTAAACTACAAGCTAATCTCGGCCTTTAAATATCTGTAATCCATTCCCGTAAAATCCAGAAGAACGCAATAAGGTCTGTTTCCACAGAAATCACAAACTAGTCAGAGCGAATTTCATTGGTTGAAAATAGTCAGGGAACTGGTTCTTGGCGATTTGGACCAATCAAAAACGCTCTGACTGGTTTGTGATCTCTGTGGAAACAGACCTATAGTCTCTTTTCCTGAATAACGTAGTACGTTCTAGAATTCAGATATGGATCCTGTGCGCCTTGGCCACAATACTATTCCAATAATAAAAGCCTCAACTTCAAATTGAGTAGCTAATTTGCGCACTAATTTGCATGCACAAAGTAGCACTTTCCCGCATAGTGTGTGGAAAATTTTTTCAATATAAATAACTAGCTGACCCGGCGAACTTCGTACCGCCTCTGAATTATTAAAAATACTTATTAAATGTTGTGTTAACGTATCTATTAGCTGAATTAAATTCAGTTTTTTTCTATGGTGAATTTGGCTTTGTTTAAAGAAAATTAATGTTTACTTTCTGGATCAGAAGTCACCTAAAATTAAAATTTTACATCATCCCTTTTTAGGAGGCTTGTGGGCATTATTCTTGTAAATTGTACCACCAAATAAATAAACTCAGGCACAGAAATGTTCCAAGTATGTAAAGAAAACAAAAAAAATCTCCAGCGCAGCCCTGTTTCACTCTATCTGCACTGCACTACTCCATTTGTTCTACTCTATCTGCACTATTCTATCTGATCTACTCTCTCTGAACCACTCTATCTGATCGGAATAGTTCTGTTCGGAATAGCTCCAGTTCCTGAGCAGCATTGTTCTACTGTATCTGCAATGAAATTACCGCCCAACGGCGAGCTTCGTTCTAAGTATCAGAGATGGCGCCGTATACAAAATGGTTTGCAATGAAAATGAAGTGGTATCGGTTATAAGAGATGGTGCCGTATGCGGGCTTAGTGAATTTTTTTCATAAATAAGTAAAAGAGGTAGTTTTTTTCTGTTTTTTTTTTAAATATTTTTTCGATTTATTATGTTATTAGGGACAAAGTACAACGGTCGAAATTTGATCGTGGCGCCATCTAAGACAAAGCTTCAACACCAAACAGCAATTTTCGCTGCAATATGGTGACTGAGTATCTAATCGGCCGACCAAAATTCAGTTCGTGGGAAAACCCAGCATAGGAAAACCTAGTATCCACTGATGAGAAAATATTTGGCTTGATTTTCTATGCTTTTCCATCCATAGACGCGTTTCGACCTATCAGGTCCTATCTCATCAGCATGGCTAGGAAAAGCAAAGAAAACCAAACCAAGTTTCGTGCCTGTAGGCAATATACACATAGTACACCGGTCGAAATTTGATCGTGGCGCCATCTAAGACGAAGCTTCAACACCAAACAGCAATTTTCGCTGCAATATGGTGACTGAGTATCTAATCGGCCGTCTGATAGGTCGAAACGCGTCTATGGATGGAAAAGCATAGAAAATCAAGCCAAATATTTTCTCATTAGGGACAAAGACAAATCCAATAAAGCAAAAATCATAAAAATTAGTCCAGCCGTTCTCGAGTTATAAGTGCTAGAACCAACACAACTGTGTTTTATATATATAGATTTGAACAATGCAAGACTCACCGTTTTTTTTTTTTTTTTACGGATATGCGCACTCGCAAGGAAATGTCCTATCACGCTCGAGAAGTATGTATGTATGAATGCACTCAACAATATTTTTAGAAATATAAACACAAAGCAATAATTATTGCTGACAATTTATTTTAATCGAAGCACGTCCAAAATGAAATGACCACATTAATGACATAACAACATGCTGGTACTGTCAACGCTGAAAAAAGTTTCAATTTGACAGCAAAATCCCCATTAACAAAATGATCCTCCATTTATTGAATAATTCATTTATTACAAAAAATGTGATAAATGAAGAACCGCTCGACCGATTTTGTGCAAACTTCACATAAACCATCTAATAAATAGTCCGAACAAAGCCTAAACATTTGGCTTAGCTAGGTGAGCCCGTTCTTGAGTTATAAAATTACAACGAAAAGTGGCATTTATTTTTATATAAACTGCAGTTGCTTTGCAACATGGAAAATTTTACCCAAATTCAAATCTCGATATTTTCGGAACGGAAAGAGATTTCGAGTTGCGGTATTCGGGAGGTTCTTCACCAACTCTTTGAGAACACGCACAAGGTTTGACCGGTATATTTCTTTCATTTGTGCACTTATACAGGGTGAGTAAAGGAAGTCATGTTTTTTTGGCAAAGTTTGGGGCTATGCCAGATTCTCACTTTTTGATCTTGGAAATTTTTATATGCATCTTTTTAATCCTTGGACTATCCCAAAATGCCGCTTCTCGAGCGTGATAGGACATTTCCTTGCGAGTGCCCATATCTCGAATTTTTCGAAAGTTGGCTATAACGCAAATTATCGAATTTTTAAAAAAGGGTTACATTTATCCCTAAGAAACTGACTTTTTCGGGGTTTCGCTTGAGAATGGGTATTTTTTCCCATACTTTTGCATGAAATAGAATTTCTTGGCCCCGAGAAAAGATTGAAGCACTCAATGAACGTTAAGCCTACAGTGGCGTGCAGAAAAAATTTGCTTTTGAGATTATGTAATTAAAACCGAATTAATAAATTAAATTATACTATGCAATTAAACAGCCTAATGAACTAATCCAAGTTACTACTCTTGATACAGGAGTGTATTCCAGTGGCGTAACACCAAGAGCATCTTTTGGTTTGATGGGAAGAACTTAAAAATTCGTATTTTTCTGCTGTTCATCTTTCATCTGGAATTTTTTAACCTTGTTATTCAGCATTGGCGTACCCGCTTGGATAAAAGGGTCCTTCTTTGGATAACCTCCCACAATAATGTCTTTTGGCTTGACCTCGAATTTTTTTCTGTCATGGTAGCTTTTTCTTTTTAAATGTGCGAAAGAGATAGCGTTATTGCTGCGCGATACGCTTGCAGATACCTTTTGAAGGTACGCGTCCACTAAGCGGATCGGGCCGGGGCGCATCTAAACATTCCGGTATAGTATTCGGCACCTAGGCATATTTCATTGTTCCGTTTGAATTCGGACCGCCAATTAATGCGGAGCAGCGAAATCCGTACTTGAATGTTGAACGGTGCTGAGCCTCAGGTCGGAATGGTTCAGTAGTAACAGGCATGTGGAGTGCCGAATCTAAGGTTTAAATGTTAAACAGTGCTGAGCATCAGGTCAGAATGTTGCCATGCGTTTGGCGCGGTTTTTAAAAGCTATTTTATATTAAATTAGCTGTCCACCCCGTTCGTGTTCCTGTTTGCTACAATTTTGCGGCGGATGCGGCTCATTTGGCACGTTGCTTCATGTGTTCTTGTGCTTAAACATGCAGGATGAGTTGGCTTGGATCATTTAAACATTTTCAATGTGGTGAACAAATTTACCGTGCTAACATCTTAGAGGAAAATGATATCAAGCGTTGGATAGAAGAGTATGATATAACATATACGAATTGGAATGTGAAGTCAGCATATAATAATTATACCAGATTCAAATGCAGGTTTGTGTTCAATGTCAATTCAATGACGTAGAATCTTCTTGAAGAATCTTCTTGGATACGAATAGACTTTAGAAAATACATTTTTAGATATGTTATTGTATGCCATCATAGGGCTTACAAAAAAGTGGATCAAGGAAATAATAAAAAAGGAAAATCAGCAGTTGAGTGCCGAATCTAAGGTCAAAATGTTATAAACAGTGCTGAGCATCAGCTCAGAATGTAACCATGCTGTCCACCCCCTTCGTAAAATTTTGCAGCGGATGCGGTCTGTAAATCCTAAGATTTACTGTTTGTGTCCGGTAAAAGTCCGAAATGGAAGCAAAATAACTAGTTTTCGGGCTTTTACCACTTGCTTTTGGTAAATCCTAGGTTTAGCGCGCTTATCCTAGGTTTTACCGAATTTCGGGCATTTACAGTAACATATATAAGTTGTTTTTGATGCCAATAAAAATTAAAAATTAAAACAAAAATGTATATGTGGTTATTTCATTCTTAGAAAAAATACTGTTCCTAAGACGTACGCAAAGTAGTTCTTCCGCACTTAGAGCTTATCCGACTGATTAGGAAAACTACGTACTATTTCGAAACATCAGAATTTTTAGAGTATGATTTTTCTTCAATTTTGTTATGCACACACACCCAATCAATTGTTTAGTTTTGAATTTATTCGTTTCGTGAATGTAAAGCGTAGACGCTCCCAAATTCCTGAGGGTGCAATTAGTGAATAGAACATTTACAATGCCTCTCCTCCATTTGTCATGGAATATAAAATTTTGCACCCATTTATCGATTCCTACGAACTATCAGATACATGATACATTATTGCTATTTCCTTTGAAACATCAACATGGCTTTGAAAAATGTAAAACATTATTTTAGAGAATACTGTCAAGCCAGCAGTATACATGGTATAAGGTATATGGCAGAAAAGCGAACTTATTTTGAGCGGTGAGTAACGCCATATCATGATATGTATTATCAATAAATATGTAGCAAAATTTTGAAGGGTTTTTAGTAGTTTCTGTAGCAAACAAAAATACTGTAGTTTCAAATTCTTATAATTCAACTTTTGAGAAATATTGTTCTAGCTAACCCCTCTTATTTTTGAGTTCCAGAAAAAGTAAAAGCATCCTGACAATAAAGTTTTTCTTGTTTGGTGGTTAACAGTCAAACCGCCCTTTCCAATTATTGTTTTATTTTAGAGGTTGGTGGTTAATAGTATTCTCAGTCTGCTTGTTTTTCTGTGGCTATTTTATAACGATGGTCTATCAAAAATGGGAAAACAGTCCTGTAATTGTGAGTTTTGCGACCCGCGAGACTCCTATTCACGAAATACCGTTTCCAGCCGTGACTATTTGCCCAGAAATTAAATCTTACAAAGCAACATACAATCATTCTAATATGTTGGTGAAATTAAAGGACAAAAAACGCTTAACCAAGCAAGAATATGAATCAACGTCATACATGAACCTACTTTGTGATGTTAATACGAGTGTTAATATAACAGAAGAATTGTTCAAATACGAAAACGACTCAGAATTCAACTATTTCAATAATTATTATTATACTGACAATAGGTTTTATGATTTTATCTTTGACGTTTCGCCAAACCTCATAAACCGTTTTTATTCGTGCAAATGGATGAATAGAATGCAAAATTGCAAAGATATGTTCAGTTTAATCCTCACCGATGAAGGCCTTTGTGCAACATTCAACATGATGGACAAATCAAAAATTTACAGGAACGACGTCTTTCTACCAGAAATACCATTTCCATCTAGATCACCTCCAACAAATATTACATGGAGTCTGGGCAGAGGCTATGAAAATGACCAAAACACAAATACCTATCCACGTAGGGCCTTATTCTCAGGCGCGAAAAATTCCCTTACAATATTGCTTTATGATTACAAGATTGACGCGGATCCGACGTGTAAAATGCAAGGATTCAAAGTAATTTTTCATACACCTACAAGAGTACCCAGGCTTAGTCAACAATACATTAGGTTGCCTCTGCGTGAAGTTGTTGTGGCTGCAGTGCAACCTGTCATGATAACAACCTCAGAAACTGTTAAAAATTTCAGATCCGAAATCAGAGAGTGTTATTTTGAAAGTGAAAAAGTTTTAAGGTTTTTCAAGACTTATAGTCAGAGGAATTGTCAATTGGAATGTTTGACCAATTTTACGTTTTACTGGTGTGAGTGCGTTGGATTTTATATGCCAAGTAAGTTTTAGAATCTCAGATCTGCGTTCGTTCAGGATGAAGCTACTGATGCTCAGAAAAGAGCTAACCTTAAGTGGTCAAACTAAAACATTAATATATTGAACAAATAATTTTCCAAATTCAAAAAGGAAAACAACTCATAATAATTTATCAAAAATCATATGAATGCTTTTAATATGGAGTGCAAAAATATACTTTTTTGTGCTACCCATTCTGTAAGTTGACTTTTTTGACCTACGTCCATGAACTGTGTCACTTACAGTCTGGGTCAAAAAAGTTACTTTTTTGACCGGGTCAAAATTAGTTATTTGTGTACCAAGGCCGTAAAGTTGATCTTTTCTGGCCGAATTAGAAATTTGCGGCCGAGGCGTAGCCGAGGCCAAGCAAATTTCAGGTGAGGCCAAAAAAGATCATTCGGCCGAGGTGCACACAAAATTTTTTAGGCGAGTACCTATTTGTTCTTGAGAAAAGACGAAAATTCAACAATAGCTTTAAACTATTATTGATCAAATAAATACTCCAGCGAAGATGGTAGATACATAATTATTAGTAACAAAAACTACGATAAAGGAAGTGTGATTATAGAAAATTGCCGACTTTTTCGCCTGGCATCCTACATTGTGCTTTTTTAAAAAAGTAAAAGCGGCCGTAAAGTAAAAGCGGCCGTAAAGTAATAAAGCAAATGCGGCCGTGAAGTAAATGCGGCCGTAAAGTAAATGCGGCCAAAAAAGATATACTTTAGGGATGATATTGAATCCGTAAAATTAATCTTTTTGTGACAGTCGCCTAAAAAAGTGTTGATATGAAAGGTGAAAATTGCTTGGTTCATATCTCTGTCAAAATAATTTCACAAAAACACTCTACTTCTTAAATAAAAAACCCAAAACAAATTAAGGATACAATTTTATTGAAACAAATAGAAAATACCTAAACGTCAAAAAGTTGAAATTAGCATAAACAGATAGGTAATAATGTAAAAATGAGATACTTCATAGTTATTTACTTTGTAATTTTGAAAATAAAAGAAACATTTTTGTAACTAGTCACATTTAACACAGGGATACTTTCCTGTATTGAAGAACTTAGAATATTAGAATGATATTTATTATCTTGAATGTACGGTAGCACAAAAAATATCATATGCACCTCGACTTGTAGCGTGTACTTTTTTTGCCTCAAATGCTTGCAAACCTCGACCCTACGGGCCTTGGCTTGCAAACTGCATCCTCGGCCAAAAAAGTAACACTTACAAGCCTTGGTACATAAATAACTATTTCTAATTCTGCCATCAATAGATGTAGGCGGTCCAAGTTAAGTAGCGGCAAGTTGCGTTTGAATCAAAATTGAGAAGTTTTAGAATTTTATTCAACTTATCAAAACTAGTTATTTTTGCCATGTTGGTCATCGAGGGGGAAACCACCTTAGAATTTTGGTGATTTTTTAGCATTTTTTAGTATTTCTAGCAATTTTTAGTATTTTTTTAGTATTTTTTAGCATTTTTTAGAATGTAATTAGAATTTTTAGAAATAATTTAGAATTTTCACTTAATGCGCATACTCAAGAACCTGCGCAGTCTGTAGGAATTTTACCCTGGGGCGAGTTCTGATGCAGAACATTGGAGCAGCAGTAGCCTAGAGAAACGCACGTTGCGATTACAAATATCGTTCATTAAGATTTCAGGTTTTAATAAGTTTGATATTTGTGGATTTAAATAGTGGATATCTCTGGATGTGAATCAAGTAAGTGTATAACAATTTTAATATAAGATATTAGGCTAACTTAATGTATGATATTGTACTATTGTCATCAGCGCACTATTTACTCAGGCCAGGGCCCATTTTTTTTTTCATATATTTTTTTTGTTGATCTGAATAAATTTCTTCCTACAACTGCCTCTGAAAATTTAGTTTTTCACACACTGCCCAGAGTGCGAAAAAAACTTTCGCACGATGCTAATTAGTTTTTTTATTTATTTAGGTCCTATCATCTTAACATGGCAACATAAATTGCGATTGTAATCAATTATTGATGTTGATGCTTCGTTTTTTCATAAATAAAAATTATCAATAGTATGTAATATAACGAGTGCAATGGAAATTATCGATAATTTTTGGGAAATTTGCCCGAATGCATTTTGAGTTGAAAAAGAGCACGAGTGCACGTAGTGCACGAGTGCCTTTTTCAGTTAAAAACGCATGAGTGCAAATTTATCGAAAATTATAAATATATTTCCATTGCACGAGTTGTATTTAATGAGAGAATTTCATAAATCAAAAATTTAAATTTTTTGTCAAAAAATGTCAAAACACCAGTTTTCGCACCAGTTAGTATGCAATTATCTGATAATTTGCACTAGTGCAAATTATCGCGTAATTACAATCTGATTGGTTCAAATCAACAATCAAAACATGTCAATTTATTGTTGGAATACCAGTTTTGACAGATGTATGAAATTCTCAATAGTAATATAACGAGTGCAATGGGAATTATCGATAATTTTTGGGAAATTTGCCCGAATGCATTTTTAATTGAAAAAGAGCACGAGTGCAAATTTTTCGAAAATTATAGATATATTTTCATTGCACGAGTGGTATTTTATGAGAGAATTTCATGAATCAAAAATAAAAAAAATTGTCAAAAAATGTCAAAACACCAGTTCTCGCTCCAGTTACTATGCAATTATCCGATAATTTGCACTAGTGCAAATTATCGCGTAATTCTAATCTGATTGGTTCAAATCAACAATCAAAACATGTCAGTTTATTGTTGGAATGTCAGTTTTGACAGATATATGAAATTCTCGAGAAAATTACCTACGTATTTGGTTGCTTTATTTTGCAGTTGTAGGAAAAGCATTGTGAAAAACTCGTTTGAAAACCATTTTTCACACTGGCTGGATTTGTGGACCTAACAAACTGTCTCACCGTGCGAAAAAAGTAGTTTTCAAAACTTGTTGATTAAATAACTATTACATTTGGCAAAATTTTCGTAATTTTCTTTATGCCTGTAAAAAACTACGCTCTAACAAAAGTGACACAGGACCCATTGAGAGCTTGCTAGGGTGCTGATTTTCATCCTTTGTGTAACTATGAAGATTTTTTCAGTAATATTCTTCTTCACAGGTCGCACGTCCCAATTTAAACCACTGGAAGAAGGTAGCAAGGAGTAACAAACGTGAGTAGATTAGGTTGAATATTGTTTAATTGAATTATTTTCATTCATTCTCCTTGAATAATCTACCAGTTTTAAAACTATTTTAGCCTAATTTTTATACAACATGTATAATATAACATGGCTATTTTTACAGATGGAAACAAGAATATTCGAAGACATTGCCGAAGAAATGCAAACAGATATTACAAGTGTACTGAAAAACATATTGACTATCATTGGATTTGACAATTCAATAAACCTAAAAATGATAACCTATGAGGACATTACTAAAATAGAAACATTTATGAAAAAACAGCTACACACTATAATTCCTAATCAGGAAAGAGCCAAATATTATGGTCCATTATACGAACATTTCCAGTTGATATTTTTAATTAAAGACCATTTGACAAAGAAATCAGGGGGAGTATAATATTTACAAATAATACCGAGAATGCCATCCAATTTCCCTTGCAATCTCCAGCTAAAAAGCGAGACGGGATAGTTATTCAAAGTAACAGCATGACACAAGAGAATTCGTTTTTATTTAAAATGCTAAAGCAATGGGCAAAAACAAAAATAAACGAAGTGGAATGGATTGAACTTCAACTTGAAGACAAATTTAACAATATTAAATTTGAAACCACTGAGGTTGCAGATATTGAGAAAAGCCAGGAAAAAAGTGTTAAAAAAGATGTACTTATTTGTAGAATAACTTTGTCAGGCACAAATTACAGTTTCAAAAGTGGGAAACCCAAAAAAAAAAGGAATTATCTGACCCAGGAAAAGCTCGTTGGGTTTGTTCTAATTATCACTCCCACTTCCTAAAAAAACATTCGACCGAAACAAACATGGAAGAAATACCCTCGAAAAAACCTGTAAAATAAACGAAAAAAGCAACTGGACAACCAAAATCTTCACAAAAAAATAACGTATTTTTTCACAACATTCACCCAAGCCAAATCAAAAACCAATGGAAATGACCTTGGGAGCGGGCCAGTGAAAAAACCAAATACAAAAATTAGGATTTTGCAGTCAATAACATTGAATAAAAATTCACTACTCAACATTAGCCCCATCCAAGAAACTAACAATAATTTCAACAGTGAGCCTAGCATTATTGATTCTTCTCCAAGTGACTTGGAAAATAGGCCTTCAAAGGAATCTAGTTACGAAAATCAAGATCAAAATTTCCAAGATAATCAAAAATCAGGGGTTGATATCGAAGTTCAACATCTGGAGAACTACAATGAGCAAAATCAAGTTGAAGTTCTTCAAGAAGATCAAGGATTGGATATCAGAGACGAACACATCATGGTGTCTGCTGACCTCTCGGCTGACCCGAATCACATTGCAAATAAAGAAAACAATAAGTGGTCTTCTTTGAAGTACAGTCGATCAAAACGGCTTAGAAGGAAAAGAGAATCTTTACAGAAAAATCAACCACTAATAACCAATTTCTCAACTTTAATTCAAAAAATATCCACCATTATTGAAGAAGAGGCTGACCATTTTAAAGATTTCACAGAAGCTGCAAGTAATTTTTCACCTTTTCAAGAAACCGAAACTGATTCGAATAGAATCAATGTATTTTTAAATCATCTGTCTAAAATAGCAAATACAAATAAAGGGTCAGTACACGCAAACAGTTGTGACGAAGACTTGAAGAAATTCGCACTCTATATTTTTTATGTCGGCGGAAAACTTCTGTACGAAACTTTACAGAACAATCTTTAAAATATTTTACCTTCAATTACTACATTGCAAAGATTTCGATCCCGACAATATTTTATCAAAGAGGAAGGATTCCTGAACTTTGATGGTTTGAAGGTTTTTTTGGACCAGTATGACCTTTCGAAAGTAGTATGGATATCTGAGGATGGAACAAGAATTACAGGTAAAATAGAAAATAATTCTTCCACAAAGTAATGGGGTTTGTAGCACCTCTATCGGAAGGTCTTCCCGAAAAAGATATATTTCTTGCTAGAAATGCAAAAGAAATACAATCATATTTCCTAAATTTCAACAGAGCAAATTATGCCTATGTAATTATGGCTCAACCAGTGAGTGCAGATGCCTCATCATTCTGTATCTCTTTATTTGCGACCGACAACAGGTTTACCTACAAAGACGTTTTAGAAAGATGAGATAGGATGATTTCTGAGGCATCAAAATTTGGAATTAAAATATTGGGATTTTCCTCTGATGGTGACACCAGACTACTGAAAGCTATGAAACTTAAATCAGCATTTGTTAGTAACAAAAACCTAACTTTACTAGAGGATTGGTGTCATATAAATTTTTCACAAAATGACCTTTGTTTCCTACAAGATTCAATCCACATTCTCACAGAACTAAAAACAAGATTATTGAAATCAGGGATATGTTTACCACTGGGAAACTATCTTGCTAGCTCCGAACATCTCAAACAACTAATTGCATCAGTTAATAAAAGTCATCATATACTGAGCAAAATGGATATATCTCCTGAAGATAAAATGAATTCCAAAAATGCTGAAAAAATTTGTTAGAGAATCCTTGGAAGAAAATGTCTCACAAAGCAGTGGAACGGTAATCTACTTGAAAGTCATGCAATATATAATTCAGTGGCGCACCAAGGGGGGGCGGGCTGCCGAGCTGCAGCCCCCCCCCCTCCCCGAGCTAATGTGACAAAAAAAAAGTATTTCAAATATTTCCAGTAATTTTTCATGTTTTATTTAAATAAACACTCTTATTATTGAAAAACATATAAAGATTGGCGCATTTCCTTAAGAGCTAGAAATGAAATAGGGATTGATATTTTTATGCGCTCCTAATAAAGTTCGGTCTATCCTCCTCGAGCGAAAAGATAACAACTACATGTGACCAGTTTTGTTACTTCAAATGAAAGATCACGTGAGCTTTTGTCAACAATGTCATCTTCTAGCTCGCAGAGGATTAACCGCCTAGCAGGGTATTCGTTAGACAAAATCATGGTTAGGTAAGGTTGTACAGGGTGTTTGTTTATAACTGGAACACTCAGTAACTCTTTTATTATTGAAAATAAACGGCATGTTTAAATTGGAAAATTTCTTGGTAAATTAAAACAATCTTAATCGCAACAACAATATTTTTTTGTCGTCAGAGGTATACAGGGTGTGCCAAACAAGTATTTTTTTTTTCAATGAATCGCCCTGTATATTTTTGCATTTTCAATTTTTTTCGAAAATTAGCTGCACAAAAATATCAAACACTATTTGGATAACAAAAATATACAGGGTTTTCCATTAGAAAAAATTACTTTTTGGCGCACCTTGTTTACCGACGACAAAAAGAAAATCGTTGTAGCGCCTAAGGTTGCAATTCACCAAGAAATTTTCCAACCTAAACATGCCCTTCATTTTCAATATTAAAAAAGCTACATCTATAATCAAACACCCAGTACTAGGGCTCGTCCTTTTAAAAATTTTTGTGGTGAAGTTACCAAAGCATACTTATTATAATATTCTATTATTGATGCGTGAACACTTTGTCGGCGGAAAGACGGTAAATGGGGACGGTGAAAGCGAATGTGACATGCGCAGTGCTTAGTTCGCAGCTACCTCAGCGCTTCCGGCCTGAAGTAGCATAAGATATTCATATCGATATATGTAGTAGATTGCTGTAAATTTGTGTAGTGAATTAATCCACCAGGGGCCCAATTCTTGAAAAATATCGCATACGAAATTTGAAATGATTTCGAATGCTTCCCATTTAATTTACATTGCTGTCAAATTCGAATCAAATTTCGTATGCGATATTTTTCTAGAATTGGGCCACAAGATTGGAGCTGCCAGTTAGGGCGGATATTATAGTTAACTGAAAGTTAACTTCTGGAATGACATATCTCATTCTCAAATCATTCCACAAGTAAGGTTTTAGTTATTTGTCAAAATAGTTTATAATACCCGCCCTCAGTATTATTATTATCATCACCGAACGAGATGTTCTCGGTACCTACAAGCAGACTCGCTCATTTTTCCATTTTACCCATAATATTATTTCGTATACAGGGTGTCCAAAATACCATGGGCCACCATTGGTATATCACAAACGGTAAGAGATACGAGGGCAGTTAAATTAGAAAAAAGTTGCTATTTTCAAAGTGTATTTATTAGTTATTTGCATTACAAGTGCGTTTATAAGCATGATTACAATAACGAGTGTGAAGGATTAGAACGACGAGGTCGTAGACCGAGTGGTTCTAATCACACGAGTTTTGTAGTCATGTTTAAAAGCACGTGTGATGTACAACGTTTTATCTACAAAGCGAAAAATAAGAATATTTTTCCAATTATTTTCGGTCATTAATAGTTGTCTACCCTCATTTTACCTTTACAGCTTCACCTTTGACATTTGTCAAATCACCAAAAATAGTTGTGTTATAGACTCATAACCTCGTCCATAACACCACTAGTTGTGTTATGAATTCTCATGACGTAACTCAAATACTAGAAAAATGGTTATGTAAAAACGTCATAACCAAACGCTTGTAGATAAAATATATTTTCGTTGTTGCCAAAATTTTATTAGTTTCTGAGATACAGGGTGATTTGTGAAAAACACTCAAAACTATTTTTTCGAATATTTTTAAAACTATCAATTTTAGAGACAATCTTTAAATTTGAAAGTTCCATGATTTTTTTTGCTCTACAATATGGTGTTTTGTTCTATCACGAAAAAAAATTAAAAATTTACAAGAAAATGGTATTATTGCAGAAAAACTACTAGGTACTCTAAATGTTCGAAATGGCCTTCACCGACACTGATAACAAGCGCTGGACCGTAATGAGCGTAAATGGAAAAAAAAAAAAAAAAAAATGCTTGATGATGTTTTTTTTAGCGAAACATACATGTATGATACATGGTAAGATGGCAAATTAGATTTACTTTGAAAATATGAAATAAAAAATCCAGGTCCGTATTTTAAAAAATTAAGTTGATGATGGTATCCTGAAGACGAAACGTCGGATTTAACATTACCAAAACACCATATTGTAGAGCAAAAAAAAATCATGAAACTCTCAAATTTAAAGAATGTCTATAAAATCAATAGTTTTTAAAAAATTCGTCAAAATTGTTTTAGGTGTTTTCCACAAATCACCCTGTAACTCGGAAATTGATAAAAATTTGGCAACAACGAAAATATATTTTAAATACCCTTCGAAAATGGAAACTTTTTTCTAATTTAACCGCCCTCGTATCTCTTACCGTTTCTGATATACCAATGGTGGCCCATGGTATTTTGGACACCCTGTATATTTCAATTCCTTGAAAATAAAGGAATGTTTTCGGGTTTTATTTCTGTAGAATGATTACTCAAGTTTTGAGCGTGTCCTCTTATCCCCTATAACTTGGGTTTCGTCATAGACGCCAATATGCATTTTTTTAAAAGCAATATTTAAATATGTAATAAAGAAACATTAATGCGATACATCCATGATTCAAAATTTTCGCCTGCGACGCATTTTCCAAATAATATAGGTGAACAAAAAGTGGATTAGTCCAGTCCAACACCCCCACCCCCCGAAAAAAAATTCTGGGTGCGCCACTGACTCCTTAATTGCTTCAACTGAAGATTTGCCAACATGTATTTTTAAAATATGGTATGCAGTATTTTTTTTTCAGATATTGGAGAAAATGGATGAAAGAGCACAAAGAGTATACTCTAACAGAAAATTTCATTTCTCTCAATTCATATACATGTATGGAAATTAACGGACACATGTTGATAAAACTGGTTGAATAATTCCATAAAGATGAAAGCATAACTGAAGATATGTTTTGGCCCAGTATATTCAACAGTCAGTCATGTGGAAGTTTGTTCCGGTGTGCGCGATCAATGACATCTACTCAATCTACTGTAATTAATTTTAGCATTAAGGACCTATTCAACAGAACTGATCGAATATGACATATAAACTTCATTGTTAGGGATCTTGAAGGCACGTTTGCTTTTGCAAGGGAACAGAAAAAGAAAGATTTTAGAAAAACTCCAAAAAAAGACATAGATGAGATCAATATACCAAATCTGAAAAATAAGTCATTAGAAGAGGCTTTTAAGGATGTGAGTAACCTGGGAATGACGACTGAAAAAAATGATGCATTTAATTGATTTAATCTTGAATGTTGAAGAAAAACTTGAAGAAACCCGAGAAAATAATTGTGACAATGAAAATCTTGAAAAAATTATTTTTAACGATAATGAGGTGACAAACGAAGGAAATATAGACATTGGACAAAATGTACTTGCTAATGATTTAGTACTTGTTCAAGATGAAAATCTTTTAGATGACAATATTGACTTGAGAGATTATTCAGATCAAAAAATTTATATATCTGAGGGCAGCCCTTATCTAAGAGTAACCTTACCCAATGATAAAGTAAGAGTCATCAAAAAATCATCATTTATTTGGTTACTTGATGAAGGAAATGGCAGGGTAAACACGGATCGACTTAAAAGATTTTTTTCTAATAAAAAAAGGAAGAACGACATAGATGTCCAACCATCCTCGTCACAATTAGGAAAAAAATGCAAAGATTCAAAAGCTAGAAAACAAAAAGGGAATCAGAATAATACCTGAAATAATGATGATTCTGATACAGATCATTCTTCCGATGGAGATGTTATTTTTATGGAATCTGATGATTCTCCATATTTTGAAGAAGAAAAAAGTCCCTCCGAAGATATCAAAGAAATAAAGAGTATTGAGCAGATTAAGCAGGGAGACTTTGTTTTAGTATCATTTGAGGGAGAGAAAAGAAATGCCCAAAAATTCAATTACATATGCATTGTGCAAGAGATCATTGAAGATGATGTCAAAGTTATGGCACTAAATAGTGCAGACTCCACAAAAAAAAATATACATCGCTAATGAAAAAGATGTTTCGTATGTAAATCTTAGTCAGATAATTGGATTACTAAATACACCTGATATAGTTTCCACTGGAGAGAGAATTAGGTATGTGTTCAGGAGCAGCATAGAAGAAGTTTCAGAAATGTAGTGTTTCTCATGTCAGCTGGATTGATAATATAACTATGTATTTTGAATGTAACAAAATTTAAAAAAAAAAATTATAAAATGAAATATTTTGTTTCGTTTCAATAAAAAAGTATTGTTTTTCTTTTAAAAGGGTCAACACAGATCGAATAAATATATTGACAAGTTCTAACCGTGAAAATAGGAAGATGCCTAAATCCAGATAAAAAATTGAAGTGTTTTTGAACTTTTTATAGTAGAATTTTTTAGAATTTTTTAAAATTTCTTAGAATTTTTAAGAATTTCTTTAAAAAAATTCAGAATTTTTTAGAATTTTCTAGAATTTTCAGAATTTTTCGAAAAAATAACATGAAAATAAGCATTTTTAGAATTTAAGAATTTTTGGTGTACAAAATTAGGTAGATAGTTTCCCCCTCGTTGGTCATTCAATCTCCTACAATAGGGCAGGACATGGAAGAAAAACATTTGAATATCTGCATACGAAGAAGATGGGATTTACTTTGATGATGATTTACTAAGCTCCTCAAAAATATACCAATTCAGTTCTTTTCATTTATTTATGGAATACGACAGCATAATCAAGAGTTCATTTTTGAAATTGCCCAATTATTTGCATTATTTTAACAATATTTGAGTTCAATTTCATTAATAATTTGAAATCAATAATATCATTTTTTTTATATCTAATACCAATGATTTGACAGGACTTATAAATTTGGAATGTAGTATTTCAACTCTACTCCAATTTACTTAGAGCTTTCCGTATCATTTCTAACTAAATAATTTGAATTGGAATGTCAAGTTTTCGAAACGGCATGCGCTTAAAGAAATTAAAAAAAAACACAATAAGTAATTGAAACTCTCAGATCTAAAACGAACGCAGCTCTTATATCTTGTTCTATTTCAAGAAAATATAACTTTTTAGGAACCAATCACACACCCATATGTGGTAGTTTCAATAAAGCTTGCATGGAAAACGCAGAAGAAATATTACAAATGGGTCATTTGAGCCACGCTTTGGGCTCAACCCCACGCAACAAAAGAAATAACACCTCCACCGAGGAATTTTCTATTGAAAATGTATATTTTCAATAAAAAGTAATTAACGTGTTCATTAAATCTTGAATTTTAGATGACTGATTGTGATTGTTTGCCTCTTTGCACAGACTTATACTACAACGTTGAAACTTCTGCCTCTTTTTGGGAGTGGAGAGATGCAATAAAAGTAATCAATCCAGCATTTGAAAATTTTTTTGATCGATCTGGGTAAAATCAATTAAAACATCAAACCGAAACAATTTAATTTTGTTTTTTTAGAATGTCAATGTCCAGTTTGGTAATCTACTTCAAGAACAACCAATTCGTGACATCTAGAAGACACGAGCTCTATGGGCCAACAGACTTTTTAGGAAATTTTGGTGGTTTATTGGGACTATTTACCGGGTTTTCCATTTTATCCTTGATGGAAATAATTTATTTTTCAACTGTCAGGATAATTTGCAATTTTAAATTGTACGGGAAATGGTCTGGCGACGAAAAAATGGAATAAAAAAAAGAGCGTCTAAAATATAAATTTAGATAGTTAGGAACCTACTTATTAGCCAACACCAGAGAATTCTAGCAAATTTTACTTCCCAAAAGAAATTTTAAAAAATCTACTTACATCTGTCGCAAATTTGGTTTTATTTATGTTGTACTTTTGCAAAACGATCAGCATAGGCTCATCATTCAGCAATTCCGCAATTTCCTCTGCAATTGGACTGTTAGTGGTATTCTCAAAAGCCATCCGGGCAACATCCTTAACTTTATTGCTCCAGGGTTTAGCAGAAATGTCCAGAATATTTTTAATCGCTTCCAACTTTTTATCGGCTTTACAGATGAACTTTAATAGTACATGGACAATATTGAGCCAATAGTCTTCATTATAAAGGAAAATTCCTTTCATTTGTTGGATGAGTAAATCGTCAGTGTCCACACCACATTTAAGCATAAATGGAAATAAAAATTCTCTCATTAGTAGCTCAAAGTTTTGTGCTTCCAAATCATAATTCAAAAGAGTCTGTACAATATCTTGAGGATCACTAATATATTCTGATAACGGTAAACTAATAGAAAAATTATTGAGGAGCAATTGAACGTTTCTCAAGGCTATCAATAAATTTGTTAGAATGTCTCTGCACTCTTCACTTAAGTGACTTCTAGCGGGCATGTAAGAACTCATCAGAGCAGTTATATCTTCCAGGAAAATGATAGCGCAATCTGGAAAATTAGCGCCAACTTCCTTTTCCATTCGATAAACCTTGCCATGGACCCAATCGACCAAAATAGCAAGAGCATCTGGTTTAAATTTGAGCGTTAAAGGAATAAAGGTTTTGAGAAAGGGGGCTGTTCTTTTGAAAGCCTATAAAAGAAAAACTCAATGGAATGAACAAATTTGTTTAGTCATAATATTCAAATTTACCTCGTTGATTATTGTTAAAACTTCTTCAACAGTTGTGTCTGGTAAATTAGCAATTTCGTTGTGTTCTAGGTGGGAATAGATTAAGGATGCCTCTTCTGCACGGCCCTAAAAAAATAATGATAATGGTTTATTGATCTTGAGAAAAGTATATTTTCACGAATATGTTAAGTATTTCAAATATGGAATAATTAAAAAAGAAAGGCTAGATAATTAGGATTTTTTTTACGGAATTGGTGTTGTAGAACTAAATGCTGTTTATTTTCAATCTCTGACCAAGGTCCTGTTTATTTATCTTCAGATAAACTTGCTGGTGAATATCTGCAAGAAAAATTTACTAGTCCAATTCTATGACATTAAAGCGTTTTTATCGATCAGATTGCATCCCTGGCAGTTTATCAGAAGGTGAATAAACTATGGCCCTAAAAATTGAAAAAGCCATAAGTTCTGCAAGAGAGAATCAAAAGGGTTGTTTTGTTTGATTGTGCAGTTTGTTGATCATCTTATATCATAAGGGTTGGTGGAATTTTAACCCCCCAAGTGTACCAATTTCAGGTTAATTATTGAAGTTGCATTAGATCAGGTCTATAAAACCCTCTACTAACATGCTAAGTGCACAAAAATCATGAAAAATTTCTAAAAATGTGTAAATCCTTTTTAAATGGTTAAACTATCCAAAAGCCAATCCTTACCTGTTTCAAAAACATTTTCACTTCATCAATGAGTTCACAGTCAATAAAATAGTTCCATTTTCGCTGATCATACTCCTTGTAAACTTGCATAAATGTGTCAAATTTGTGCAAATTTTTATTAAATCGTCTTTTGGCGGATAACAGGACATTATCATTGTTTTCGCTCTAAAATGATAACCCCAATAAGCAAACATTTATTTGAACAATCTCAAATCCTTACACTATCTCTAACTTCAATGTCCATAAGTGCCCCCTGACAAAGTATTTTTCGTGTGTCAGAACTAGTTTTACAAGTAACCGAATTATAACAAGACATTTTGAACAATTGATCATCGACATTTTCTAAAATCCTTAAAAATTCTTCAATTTGTTCTGTTGTGGCTTCACATTGGGCCACAATATGTTCGGCTTTGGCTTTAGCAATAAATTGTGGGTCCACATTGAAGGTTTGTGCAAAAATTTCAGCTCTATCTATAAGGCCTTTCTCGATTAACTTTTTCACACGTAATTCAGGATCAGTTTGCACAATGCATTGTAGGCGCACTTCTGCTAAATTACCATTCTTATAAATTTCTGTAAGCAGAGGAATTTCTAAACTAAAACCATGTGTGTTGACAAGGTTAGTTTTGTCTGAGAGGGCAATATCAAAAGCCACACTAGTAGAATCTAAAAAAAAAAAAATTGTGAAATTTTTATTTCACATAGAACACAATTTATTACCCAAAAGTTCCATCGCCTGTATTTTTGATTCCTTCTCTGTAGTAATTCCAAAAACAAATTTTTTCTCTCCGTCAGCAAGTACCATTAAAGCATCGAAGACATTTACTAAATGAGGCAACTCATCGTTTACTCCAAATATTAAAAATTTTGCTGGCTGTATTTTAAAAATATTGCCATTATAATCCATACCAAGCAAATTCCTAAAACACTCTTAGTCTTTTGTCAATCAACAAGCTAAAATTTGCTTACCTCCCAACTGCCTGAAGACATTTTAGACCTAAACAGTCATCCATATTATAGTTCAGGGTGCGAAGATTCAACATTATGAGATCTTGGCCTTCTAAACAAAGATAAGAAGAAGTGTAGGCGCAAATTAATAAGTTTCTCTTCAGGTCTATGAGTGTTTCAGAAATAAATTTGCCATCGTCAGTGGGTAAGGCAATTTTTTTTATTAGACCGTTGCAAGTTACCACATAAAACGTGGGAGATTTGATAGTTTTGTCCACAAAGGCACCAATGAAACTGTTTTGAGAATCATTTGGAGTAATCTCTAATTTTCTAAAAAAAAGGTTTTGCTGTGATAAAACCAAATTTTTATAAAAAATAGTTACTTACTCTTGAAATACCAGAGGACAATCAAAACTAACATTTCCATCTCCATTTCCATGATTAGGATGAATGATTTCTTCATTATAAACAATAATGTTCGAATCTGTATCATTTTCCTTAGTAGCATTAACAATTTCCGATAAATTCCTTATAAACATATCTCCACTTCTAGTACAAATAAGTATGAACTTTTTGCAATTGGACACCACAATAGTATCCAGGCAACTTTCAAATTCTAAGGAGGCGATTTGGACTGGATGCTCCATGCTTTTCAGCACTCTGAGGCAATTGTTAATGCCAAAAAAAATGTGGCCATCTACTTGATAGTAAGAGGTGATTTTGAGATTGGGTTTGGAATCCTGAAAAGTATAATTTAGATGTTGTACAATAAGCTTTGAGTGGAATGAAACTTACTAAAGATTTTTCTGAAGATCGAATTACTGCCAGTGTATGTATTTCATATAAACTCTTGTCACCTCCAGTTATTCGTTTGCCAAAATTAACTGTTTCATCCAGATTATTGAATCCGGCAACAAAAACATCGAACTTATTCATGGTTTTTCTGTAACAAAGATTGGGATTGTTAATTGCTCTCTTTTAAGGTATCGCGCGAGAGTCCATGGAAATGCCATTCTCACGCGCAATTAAATATTGATATTCGAACTTTGAATTTAAGCATAAACTTCCTTTATATCCTTTCATTTTAGTACATGCAGGTTGTAGAATAATTTACTTCAACAAGTACATTACATTGTAAAAAGCTAATTTAACCCCTTAGATTTTTGCACATACTTACAGATTGCTTGTAATCTAGATGCAATAACTTATTTGAGTAGCTCAAATTGTAAAGTGATATTTATTTAATTTATTGTAAACCTTATTATTATTTATCTATATAAATATACAACTTGTATAAGTTGCATTTAAAATTACCCAAAATTACAATACAATACAAAGTAAGTTCCAAACATTACCACCCACCAAAATACCTAATCACTATTTTATATAAAACAAAAAACTCGATGAAATTATAATCCTTATAAAATTCATTCTGAGCAAGCGTAGAGAAGTCTACTGACCAGCAAGTGGGCAAAGTTTTCCCACTGAGCGCTGAAATAGGCCGCGAGCCGTTCTGACTAATAGATTGTTTCTACCGAGGTTACTACCGTGCAAACCCCAGCAGAGCGTGGATGTAACTTAACAACTCTCGCAAGTTCCTATTGTAAAGGAGGAAATTTTGACATGGCTTCTATTTGTACTATTATAGTGTTTAGTTCCTCATGAGTCAAAATCTGAGCTTTTATAATCCGAACCAAGTGAGTTTTTACTGATTTAATTCCTGATTCGGGTAATCCATTAAAATGTGGGGCGGCAGGAGGATTGAAGTTCCATGCTCAATTTCTAGACCTGTCTACATTATGTCGCTAAGATATTTGCTGCTGACAATAAAATAAGTGCCGCAGTCACTGTGAATGTTTATAACACGCCCTCGCCTGGAGATAAAACGTTGTAAAGCCGCTAAAAATAAGTCTGAAGACATATCTGAAGTAAGTTCAAGATGTAAGACTTTTCTGCTACTACAGCATACAAATAGACATAAGTATGCCTTCAAAGTCTTACAACCTCTATTTCGATTGGGAGTTATTTAGGAAAAGGCCTGCTCATATCAACGCAAACACGAGGGAAACACTTTAATTGATTTATGCGAAATGTAGGAAGGTCAGCCATTAAAGGTAGGTATATTAGATGTAGTATTTACCCTAAAACACCTTAAACATTTTCCAATAACAAAGCAAATGGAGAGAATGAGTAGTAGGGATGTAAGCCAATTTTTCTGACAATGTCATGTCACGTCACAGTCAAAATGAAAATGACGCTCACGTCATTTATTTTTATGACACTCTTGTCATTTATTTTTTTATAGATTAAATTGACCTTTTGTTTGGACGCCATATTGCGGTGCGCGAACATAGTTGCCAAAAGAAGAAAACAGAAAATAACTAGCGGGCTGTCAACATTAAAAACAAAAGTAACTTAAATGATTGATCCTCGCTAGGGTTTCCATACGTCCGGATTTACCCGGACATGTTTGGGTTTTTTGGGTGTCCGGGGAAGTCCGGCCGGAATTGGGAACAATGTCCGGAAAACTCGGAGATAATTCACTTTACACACTCACTAATGCGTAAAGTAATGTCAATGACAGATGTCGACACTGTCATTTTTTTCTAGTAAATTACTTCACTTAACGCACTAGTGCGTAAAATATTTACCTATCTACATTTATTTTTTTACACATATTTTATTGCTAGTAGAAATTTTTTTGTACCTACATGCAATAGGTACAGATCGTTTCACGAGGGTTCATACTTTTGATATCGAACACGTCATAAATTGGAAAAAAAGGGTTGTAAATTAATTCATATGACACATCCAATTTTTTTGGCAAATTAAAATGAATGACTTCTGGTTTAAGAACCGACAAACTTTTTTGACGTCATTGATTTGTTTCAGTCAATTTCTATTTGCAGGCGCGTGTCAAACGGCCCCGCAGACCCCGCCACACGGGGGGGGGCCGGTATATTGGGGGCCCAATATACTCTGGTCCTATGTATGTATATCAAACAAACTCCAAAAATACAAATATGCACATTTAAACATTTCAAATCCATATTTAATTTGTCACCATTTCTTTCGAACATAAAAAATGTGAACGCCAAAACAATTTTCAACCCTGGCTGGTCGAAACCTCAGTGATTCCCACCATAGGTTATTCCCCGTTTTAATGGGAATTTCCGGTTATTAGCGAGTCTTTGTTGTTTCACTTGTTACGTTTGAGTTTTGAGTTGATATTTAAAATATTAAAATGAGTAGTTCGCGCAAATATCTGAGTGGGGCTCAAAAAAGAAAACTAGTTGAAAAAAAGGAGGAGGAGATAATGATATTGTGTATAAATATTTACTAAAATGGGTTATTTTTGGAAAATATAATAGTGACATAGGGGGCCTCAGAAAAAAGTTCGCGGGGGGGGGGCCCCAAAAAATTTGATACGCTTCTGTCTATTTGTTAAAAAGGAAGACAAAAAGTATGAACCCTCGTGAAACAAAGTATACCTCGAAGTATACCTACTACGTGTGTAAAGTGAACCTTTTTTCACGAATGTAAATTTTGACGCGAGCAGAAGGCGAGTGCGAAAAAATTCACATTCGTAAATAAAGTTCACTCTATACACTTGTTGCATAAATAGCTATTTCGGCGAAGTCCGGATTTTGTCCGGATTTCTTGACTCATTTGTCCTGAATTCCGGAAAACCTTTATGGAAACCCTAATCCTCGCTATCCTTTTTGTTTGTTTACTTTCTCTCTCTGATTGATGAAAGTAAATAGGTAGATATTTTATTATTTCTATACTGATGATACAAGCTAAAATTGATGGCTTTTCTTTTCAAAAACATTCGTAATAGGGGACAAATTTAAATTTTAAATGTAATTTATTCAGTAACTTTTGTTTTTAATGTTGACAGTCGCTAGTAATTTTTTTTTTTCTACTTTCTGACAGTCAAAATAATAACTGACCGTCATTAAAATATATGACAGTGGCACAAAAATATCAACTGACTTTCGATTTTTACTCTCAATATTATGGAGGAGATGGAAGTGTACTTTCTAACGCATTAGATGACTTTGATGCTGATGACTGTGAAACTGGAGAAGAACTTTCAACCAATCAGATATCTGATTATCGATTTAAGTTATATTATGTTCTACATCAACGGTAAATGACCATAAATGACAATAAATGACAAAGATGACAAAAAAATTACTGTCACTTATCACAAAAATTAAATGACCATCATTTTACAGCCTAATGAGTAGTTTGGAAACCTGGGTGAAAGTGAAAATTTTCTGAATGTGTTTCCATAATAGTTAACGCAGCTCAGTTAATCTGCTCTGACAGCAATATGGGATAGGGCTCGGAATTTTTGAAATTCAAGTATTCGAATAGTCGTTTGGTATTTTATTTGAATAGTTGAATAATTCGAATAGTCGAATATTCGAATACCTATTCGAATAGTTGAATATTCGAATAGTTGAATATTCGAATAGTCGAATATTCGAATAGTCGAATATTCGAATAGTCGAATATTTGAATGGTCGAATATTCGAATAGTCGAATATTCGAATAGTCGAATATTCGAATAGTCGAATATTCGAATAGTCGAATATACGAATAGTCGAATATTCGAATAGTCGAATATTTGAATATGTAGTCAAAAAGTCGAATATTAGAATAGTCTAATATTCCAATAGTCAAATATTGATAGAGGACCTAATTAAGAGAACAAAATGGGACTTTAAAAATGACGTTTTTCGACTAACAATCATTCTTGATAAAAGTTTCTACTTCCCGCAAAAGAACGTTCTACGACGAAGCGAATTTTTGATTTTTTATGCAGAGTCTTAGTCAGAAAAACTAAAATAATTTAGATGTTTTCTAAATGGCAAATTTACAGAGGGTTAAATCTACATTACGAACAAAAATGCATTGTATTAATTGAAAGCTGATTTTCACCGAAAACACGTCGTATATTGTATCATTCAAATTCAAATATTGAAACTATTGAAATTTCAAATTGTTCAAATCAAAAAGTGAGTAATTGCATTGTTAAATAGTCCAATATTCGAATAGTCGCATATTCGAATAATCGAATATTCGAATACATATTCGAATAGTCGAATATTCGAATAGTCGAATATTCGAATATTAGAATATTCGAATAGTCGAATATTCGAATATTAGAATATTCGAATAGTCGAATATTCGAATAGTCGAATTTGCGAACGAACAAAGAAGTCGAATTTAGAATAGTCGAATAGTCGACTATTCGAATTATTCGAATACAATTCCGAGCCCTAATATGGGATGCTTGTAATTATACGCAATATCAGCATGTTTGACAGGGTTGGCCTAGAATTTCCCCAGGTTATAAAACCCAGTGACGTTTTTTGGGTTTTTTCAAAAATAGCAAATTTCCAGTTGAATAAGTCATTTTTACAGGAAATATCAGGAATTCTTCGATGATTCCCCAGTCCCTGGCTGTTCGCTGTTGGCGTGGAGGTCTGGGCAAGAACTATGTGTCATGTAGAATTTCGAATTCAACATATCGAATGTGCCAAGTCTATAGGATCCTGTCGATATGTAGAATTCTACATGACACGGAGTCTCTGGACTGGCCAGCCAGAGGCGTGGATGCCAAGTGTAATTATTTATATCAAGTGGCTTTCTTTATTTTGTAAGGATATTTCATTTTTGCAACAAAAGTCATACCTTTTGTAATACTTTTGTTAGAACAGAAACCGAGGTCGAAACTATAAATCAAATTTGAAGAAAAAAAACAGAAACCCAAGGAAGCCCGAAAAAACCCAAAAAAACCCAAAAAACCCATAAAAACCCGATGGGTTGGACTTTTTCAAAAAAAACCTGGGTTTTTTCCAACCCTGATGTTTGAACCTCCTACCTACTCTTAGTAGTATCCCCGAGAGTATCCCTAAACTATCCAAAAAATAAACCAATCGTTACAACTAATTTGAAACTGTTTTTTTATTGTTGATTTTTGCTCGGATTTTTGAAATATCCGCAAAAAAATATTCGGCATGAGTTTGTTTTACTAATACCAAAAGAGCATCATTTAGCTCATACATAACAGGACCATGCAGCAAGTAGCCGTTTATTGTCGGAATTCTTCCATTTAAATTAAATTAAATCAGAAAAGGAGCAAGCTTCTGGCACAGCATCTTCTGGGTTTTGGCTTCATTTAATCTTAGGAAGTTGCTTAGATTTCGGTAAAAGTGCAGTATAGCCCGGTCACCTAAAATAGTATTTTTTTGAATAAGAATCGTTTGTTTAACGTTCAAATAGTGCATTTTGAAGAAAATTTTCCAGCGGAAATCTTTAATTGAAAAATTACAAATTAAAATTATACTGAAAATATGTATTGTTTATTTGTAACCGATCTATACTGCACTTTACCCCCTAAATAAATATGCAGTATAGCCCGGTCACCTAAAATGTTTTTTTTTTTCATTAAAATTTGTTTTTTAAACATCCAAATAGTGCATTTTGAAGAAAATTTTTCACCAGCAATCTGAAAATCTTTAATTGAAAAATTACACATTAAAATTGTACTGAAAATACTATTTATTTATAACCGAGCTATAATGCACTTTTACCTCTAAATAAATATGGGGTATAGCCCGGATACCTAAAGAGTTTTTTATTTAATTAAGAAAATGCAAACTTAGTCAAACTAACTCTTACTAACCCGTCCCTAAAGTGCTAGCTAGTCCGCATAAGTAAAATACTGTTTATTTGTAACCGACATATACTGCACTTTCGCCCCTAAATAAATATGCAGTATAGCTCGGTCACCTATACATTTTTTTTTAAATGAAAATCGATAGTGTAACGTCCAAATAGTTTATCAATGACGAAATTAATAAGTTATCCGCCGAGTATGTTTTATCATGAATCATGATGTCTTAGTTAAACGTTAAAGCAAAGTTTATAAAATTTTTTGATTTTGATTGACCGGGCTATACTGCATAATTACTTAGGGGAAAATGTGCAGTATAGCTCGGTTACAAATAATACAGTATTGTCAGTGTAATTTTTCAATTAAAAATTTCCTCTAGAAAATTTTAATTAAAATTCACTATTTCGATGTTAAACAAACGATTTTGAATTAAAAAAAAAAAATTATCGGTGACTGGGCTATACCTACTGCATATTTATTTATGGGGTAAAGAGCAGTATAGGTTGGTTACAAATAAACAGTATTTCAATTATGCAGGCTACTAGCACCAAGACTAGCACTATACGGAGGGGTTATTAAGGGTTAGTTTGGTTTAATCTGCATTTTCTTCATTAAATAAAAAACTCTTTAGGTGACCGAATTTTCGAATGTAATACCACAAGAGGTTTCAGGATTATCGGATAATACTTTTACCTGTCAGGAAACGCGTTACGAAGCAACACCACGTCTCCGAAGGAGGAGTGGTATTGCTGGTAACGCGTTGAGTGTCAGGTAAAAGTATTAGGTAATCCTGAAACATCGAGTGGTATTCAAAAGGTTATACAACGAACTGAACTTTAATACTTTAAATAATAAAAAAAATTCTATAATAGAATTTGCTATAAATGCCACCAAGCGCGATAATCCCAAAAGGCTTATCACTTTTTAAGCCTCTCGTGTCATATGGGAATAATGTACAGTGAGTTGTATAACCGCTGAAACATTCACTTCAAAATGCTTTATTTCAACGTAAAACAAACGATTCTTATTCAAAAAAATATTATTTTAGGTGACCGGGCTATACTGCATATTTATTTAGGGGATAAAGTGAAGTATAGGTCGGTCACAAATAAACAGTATTTTCAGTAGAATTTTAATTTGTAATTTTTAAATTAAATATTTCTGCTGGAAAATTTTCTTCAAAATGCACTATTTGAACGTTAAACAAACGATTCTTATTCAAAAAAATACCAATTCAGGTGACCGTGCTATACTGCATATTTACCCCATTTTAATAATAGATTGGGTTTCCCCAGACTCCCAGACATTTCAGTCAGAAGCTGAGGACGCTGCTTTGACAAGAGCCATTGTGTCATTGAGCATTGTGGAATTCCAAGTACGACCCAATCAACTAAAACCCCTTGGGGCCCTCGACAGAAGACGATAAATATAAACATGAGATATCAAGGTATTTAGTATACTCTTGATTAAACTCTATTCACTGGAATTTGATCGTTTTTCATCATATATTTGAGTTTTTATCTCAAGCCTTGGCCCTTGGGGGACTCAAATACAAGGGATTTTAATAATTGGAGATTTTCCTGTTGTTATTACCAGGGAAGCTTGAAGCTTCGAAAAGTTTCCCCATCGTTATTGCATTGAAGGAACAAAACAATTACATATATATTTTTTTTAATTAAAAGTGGCTAGCAATCTTACCAGAATCTTTGAGAACTAGTCCAGATACAAAATGAGACACAAATTAAAAAAATAATCACTTGTAACTTGAATCTTCACTATTAAAAAATCGAAAAATCCGTTTTCCGTTTATTTTATTTTGATATTTCAAATAATTGAACAAACATGAAACATGACATTTTTGACAATTTTGACACTCAATCGGAGGATGCTGTGGACACAGCTTACTAATAAATTAATTTTGGCAACATGTATTTGGCCGACCAAATGTTAATTTTTCAATATTCGCCATACTCAATCGTTTGGTGGTCGTTTGGTGGTCTTTGGTATCCCACTTTTAATATTTGGTGGTAATTACTTAGGCAGTAATTAACAATTAAAACTTTCATATGACGTTGGCCGACATAACCTGATTCTAATTTATTTTTTGGCCCATTTATAGTCAAATCGAACGGAAATCGTTTGGTGGTCACGAATTTAGCGTTTGTTAGTCAATAATACTGGAGTAATTAATCAATTAAGTTGTTTTCTGATATATTTTAATTAATCGTCGCGCATGCGCATATAATATCTGTTTTTCATTGGGCCGCCTCGATCGCGGCGTTGCCGTTGCGATCCGGAACTGGCGGTGGGCCGGTGGCGTGTCAACTCGCGAGTCGCGGACTCTGCTTGTACTGGATTGTCGTTGTCGTGGTCAGTGGTCTCTACTGTTTCTCAACTGTAGTCAATTGTGCCCGTTTTCTGCTCAATTGTGCCAGTATTTATGCGAATTGTGCTCATTTTCATACACAAAAAAAAACATTGAAACGAATCCGGGGGCCAGCTTGACTCCAGCCCCAGCAATATGTTTGGCTAATTGATAAACAAAAGCAAACAAACTCGTCTTTCTAATTAGCAATTAGCCAACCACTCAAGGACACAAGCTTTTGAAGTCTGCTAATTTTAAAATCAATAAATTAATTACAAAATACAGTTTTCAAAGGAAATAACCTCAAAATAACAATTTTTCACGTTTGAAAATGCAAGGATAGTGCACTGTCATAAAAAACACAAACCGATCAAGAACTGCGTGACGTCATTCGCATACCGCCATCTTCGATGTTTTTATGAACGTTTGTCTTATGGGATTGAGCAATCCTGTAGAGTTTACGATTCTTGGCTCCAACCTACGTGGTTCAGCATTACCGGCGGAGGGGGAAAAGTAAGTTTTGGCATTATCAGGTGAGTTCGGCTTGGCAAAACGGAGTTGGAGCGGATAAAGAGCAGTTTCGTAGTCACGTGATCACAGAGCGAGAAGAGTGGTTAAGTCGAACGCATCGCAGGGAACAGGTTAGCCGCCAGCCGTGAATGCCGTGGGCGTTTGCGCAAAGTTGTACAAGAACATTCCATTTTATTATTAAACAATAAACAATTGTTCCCAGATAAAAGAATCTAATTTAAAGTGATATAAAAACAAAAATATTCACTACTTTTTCCTTGTATTAGCATTATTTCATTACTAGAATAAGATTATTCCCATCACAAACCAGAACATGTGTTTTTGCGGATATTTTGGGGAACGAAGCCATTTTTTCTACCAGGAGCCCCAGGAGGCAACGATCGTTAGGATAGTGAATTATTGAAAGCTTAAATTTTACCGCCTTTTGGAAATATAGGAAGTGCGCATGCCCGCTCCTCGAGCTTCATCTCTCGAGGTGGTGCTTGTGGAGTTAACTCTTTTCACTCTACTTGGCTGTACCCGAACGATGAGGAGCTTGCACTATTTGCACCCAGTGGCGTGACCCGAACGATTTTGCAGTGAAAAGGGTCAAAGGAGTCAAAAGAGTTGCCAAGCCGAACTCACCTATCATTAGTTGTATTCCTTTCAAGAGCTTGAAACACTCGAGCTACTCGCTCTGGTGTTTAGTCGCCCTCGATTTGCAGGAAACAGATGCGTGGTGCAACAAACACTTTTCGAAAGGAATAAGCGCGTGAAGCCCCGGAGCTGTTCCGGAGCTCCTCCTAGGTGTGAAAGGAATGGAAATATTGCCGTCTTTGAACGCACCCTGGATGGGTGCTAAGGGCTGTCGTTAGTGTCGTTACTGTCGTTCCGTTGTTTTGTTTTGTTTGTTGTGTTTATGTCTTGTTAATGTTGTTTTGATTTTCATTTTTCTTTTAAGCATTAGGTATTGTATATTAATTTTATTTAGGTGTTTAGTTTAATTCGAGGTTTAATTAATATAATTTCTGGCAAATTACTGTTTATAGAAAAAGAAAAATGGAAGTTGAACAAATTGATTTGTCTGCATTGCAAATCAAAGACCAGAAACCTCAAAGTGAAGAAACGCGACTGGCCTTGCTTGAGAGCTGCAATGGTAATGGGGAGACTTCTGTAATTCGAAGATCTGGCAGGATGAAAATTATGCCATTAGAAGAAGCTTCAAAAACTAGACCTGTAATTAAAAAATCAAAAAAGTTAGAGGTGAGTTGAATATAATATGATACATCATTTTCGTTTTTCCCGAGGTTTTTCCCAGCTGATTCAAGTTTGCTCTTTGATGTAAGTAGGTCTCTCCAAATCCTTTTCAACTATTTATCCTCTTACTTAATGCAGCATTTTAAACTGTTGTTTGCTTGTCTGTTGTAATTCCGATATCATCTACCATCTACCATTACACATCTTTTCTGTCATCTGTGATCCTTGAATGCTTGTTTTTTAGGTAACAGTTTACTATACAGACGAGACAGACTTATAGGCCAAAGCCTCGGCCAAAGCACTTAGCGAAATAACAGCCATATTTTAACATAAAATTTAACAGCAAACTATCGATGCAATATTGTTAAGGATCACTTATAGATGCTAAAAACCAAAAATGCAACATCTAATTACTTTTAGGGGATTTTATAAACAATATTTAGTGCAATAATGATCGGATGGTTTTGCTACTCTGGCAATAGTTTTAGAGCATTGAACAAGCTCTAAAATGAGCCATCATACAACTCTGTAGGTCTTTTAGTCTTCGAGAAATGATTTTTCCCCCCAAAAAAGATATTTTCGTAAAAAATTCCTAACTTTTTCAATTTTCATGCTAGACAATTAATTTTTTACACATACATAAGGAGGCTTTATTGAGCCCAAATTTAGGCCCGGTCCGATGGGTCGTTTCGGCATAATACCCTTGTCAAGCAAAATGGGGATGTTTCTAAAGCAGTCTGTCGAATTGAGGATAATTTTTTTATTTTTATTTTGAAAAGTCCTCTGATAAGTCGAAATGCCAAACTATCGATCCTCTATCTCAGATTTTCCAATTAATTTTTTTATCACAAGTAAAACGGCTTGTCCACGTTATGCGCGCTAGTCCTTGTAAAGTCAGTTGCATGGTTCTTGAGCTGCGCAGTCTGAAGAGGCAGAGGGGAAAATTCCACATAAAAACTCGGCTAACGTTTGATATCATAGGCGTGCGTAATGTTATTTTTTTCTATTATAAGATTAAAATTTATTTTCACATTTGCAAATTGCTTTGGATGTTGGGTGTATATGTTTTATGAAAAAAACTTGGATGTTCAAAATTTCGAAATTCGCCCAATATAAGGGTGGTTCAACTCAACAGGGAGATTCGTATTGGTTCCTTCTTCATCGCAAACTCTATATATATTGGCTATTACCTCCCTTGTTTGGCTATGAAGATTTTTTTTGCGTAAATTTGTCCAACTTTTTAAACACCCTTTGGCTACGCCACTGAATAAAACTTTGATTGAACAGAGACGCCAGTGAAACAAAAATTAAAATGTGCCCGCCTAGCTGACGGCGGCGACGGCGCCATCGCCTGGTTGTGGTGGGATCCAATCGCTCATTCATTTTTTCCTATTTTACATAGGGAGAGTACGGCTCGATTCGAAACGTTCCACATGTGATCTCAGTGATGCCGGATTTCGGAAAAAAAAATGGATTTTCAGTGATGTATGATTTATTAAATGGATAAAATGAATGTTTAAATTATATTAATTATGGTATCATTATATTTTTACGTTATTTTTAGAATATTATTCGATTTGAAGAATAGTATTCTCCATATTTCGAAGACGAAGGAGATTTTATTGCAATTTTCATGTATTATTATTATTGATATGACAACGCCGCAATGACGAATTTTCCCCTCTGCCTCTTCAGACTGCGCAGTTCAAGAACCATGCAACTGACTTTATGTTAAATTGAATTTAAAAAACAAAGCGCACTTCGCGCGCTTTGTTGTCAACCAGTACACTTTTAACAAAGTTTATAACCAGTAATAAACGAACGAATCTAACCAGAAATATGCAAACTAGCCCAAACTAACCTGTCCACGTAATGCCGCGCTAGTCCTTGTATGTTATTATTGAATTAAATTTTTAACCAGTACATATAACACAGTTTATAACTAGTAACAAAAGAGCTGTAACAAAACTAACCAATAATATGCAAACTAACCCCTCCACCGTCCACATAATGCGCGCTAGTCCTTAGTAAGTGCAATATAAAAAACCGCTGACGAATTGATGAAAAAATAATGAGTATATGCCTTTTCTGTAACTAAAACGTACTAAACCTTATTATATTGTTGGAAACTAAATATTTCGCACTGTTTTTGAATGGGAACTATTATTTAAGTGATATCTAAATGAAATAATTGCAAAATAATTCCATAGAAGTTGCGACCTATAAGTTAGAAGAACTGAATCTGCAATTAATATTTTAGATAATGATAAAGCATTTCCTAATGATAAAGAAATGAGTGATTTTTGTAACAACTATTTCTCAAAGGTTGCAATAGACATGTTTGATAGCATCCCTGACAGTATGGAGAGGTTCCCTTCAAGCATTTCAAATAAATCCATGTTCTTAAGACCAGTAGGTAATAGTGAACTAATAAAACACATAGCAAGTTTGAAAAATAACAGCGCTCCTGGGAATGATGGAGTTTCTGCAAGAATAATCAAACAGTTACACTACTACCTGATTATGCCCCTGAAATACATTATGAATTTAATATTTGAAACCGGAATTGTACCCAAACAACTTAAAATCTCTATAATTACTCCAATACTGAAATCGGGAAATTGAAGCCAGGTCTGTAATTACAGACCGATTAGTGTAATCTCAAACTTTGCCAAGCTTTTTGAGAAGTGTTCGAGGGAAAGGCTTAATGAATTTTTGAAGGGAAATGACTTACTTTCGCCGAATCAGTATGGTTTCACAGAAGGTCTGAACTCAAGTGATGCTATGTATCACTTGATAGATGAAATTCGACAAAATTTGGATACTGATAAAAAGTGTTTGGCTGTGTTTCTGGATCTGGCGAAGGCCTTCGATACGGTGCCTCATAAAAAACTCCTACATGTTCTTGAACAAAATGGTGTGAGAGGTACTGTGTTGGAGGTGTTTGAAAGTTATCTGACTAATCGCCAACAAGTGAAAATACGGGAAACTTTAAGTGACCCTAACATAGTGAAAATTGGAATTCCGCAAGGAACTGTTTTGGGTCCAATTCTTTTCAATTTATATATAAAATCAATAACCGCATTAAATATCAGGGGAAAAGTAATTTCATATGCCGACGATACTGTGATTGTTTTCGATGGTTTGACCTGGCAGGAGGCTCGAGAAAATGCTGAAAATGGCATCACTGCTGTTAAAAAATGGCTTGACTAAACTAAGCAGCAGATGAAGTGGGACACCCGAAAAATTGCCTAATTTTGACTTGCTATAACTTCTACATTTTTTTGCCGATCTTGGATTGTGAGCCACTGTAACAAAGCGCCATCTTTGGTCTATGCGTCAGTGTCGTCGTACATTTTTTTTTTAAATCCTTCTCCTTATACAGGGTGTGAATGTAAGGCGGCGAAAAATTTCGATTTTTTGGCGAAGAATATGAGAAAGATGGGGGATCCGATAAAGTTCTTTCTGATGCTGGGTGAATCACTGGGTCAATACCTCGGGACGTCTTTGCCATTTTTTCGATACACTGCGTTACTATGGAAATATGGCCATTTTATGGAATTTAGTTTTCCTCTTTAAATTAGCGATTCTTTAATTGAACAATAATAGATTCCGTCTAAATTGCATCAAGGAATGACTTGTATAGAAAATGGTCAACACCAGCGGCGTGCAAAAGGGGGTTTATGAAATTAAAATAAAAAAAATCGATTTTATCTGAAATTTTTGAGTTTTGTTAAGCGTTAAAATTTAAAAAGTGTTATGAATAATTGTGATGAGTTTGATTTTGATATCCAGAGGCGTTCAGTATAGAAAAACATTTTTTCCCCATTTTTTTAGACTTTATTATGCATCTTTACATAAAAAGCTAATACAATAGTTAATTATTTTTATTTAGTAAGGCATTGGTCCTCCTCTAGCCTGAATCACTACCTGACACCGCCTTGGCATGCTCAGAATTAAGCGATTAATTAGCTCCATAGAAACTGACTTCCAGAGCTCCAGAATCATCTCCTCGAGATCGTCTAGAGTTTTTGGCTGACGTTCTCCCCGAGAAAGCTTTAACTTCATCCAGCTCCAGACGTGCTCAATCGGATTCATGTCTGAGGATCTAGGAGGCAATTCGGTACGATTGAGATTTTGCCATTGCAGGCCGAGCATTATCGTCTAGCAAGAACAAAACCCCCGCCATAATATCGAGCATGCGGGAGAACTTGCGGAATCAGAGATTCATTCAGGTAGACTTGGCCGGAATATTGCCGCTACGAGTTTTATCCTTCCGTTGTGTTGAATACCCCCCAAACTGTCCATCCTCCACCGCCAAATGCAACTTGGGAACGCAAGATTTCTTGTAAAAATCTCCCCATCTCCACCAAGTTAGCAATCGGCCGTCGGAATTGTACGGGTTGAAACGGTATTCATCAACGAAAAGACAGTCTCTCCACCTAAAATCCCAATTCAGGTATTCCTGGGCCCATCTTTTTCTGTTCGCCTGATGAATGTTCGTACAAAGTGGGACTTTGCCCGACGGCGAGCATTTAATCAGTGATCATGTAGGCGCCTTCTAATGGTGTCTGCTGGAACATTCAACTGCAGATGCTTGGATTCTCTTGGCAGTCCAAACTCTATTTCCAACCGCAGTACGTACTACTAGTCGATCCTGACGAGGATTTGTTCTTTTTTGAGATCCTCCACCGTGTCGGTAAGCAGCAGTACCGTTGTTTGCTTCTCTTTGCAACGCTCTTCCCGCACGGACGATTTATTGACATTAAGTAAGTCAGAAATCTCTCTAATTGTATGATTTCTCTACTGCAATATTAAAATATTCTCTACATCAGCACTCGTAAGTCGCGCCATTTGGACCATGGCAATTCAATTTTTGACAGAAAATGCATTACATGATGGCAATGCTTTACAAGGTTTGTTCGTATCACGTTAACATTAAATAAAATGGAAGAAGATGAAAAATGCTGTTTTTTTTTCACCAAACGCCTCTGAATCTCAAAATC